AAGCTTGCATCATGATAATGTATAAATGGTTTGGAGTGTTTATTACCTGTTTTAAGGGGCCTGTATGTATGTCCTGCAGATACATACCTTGCATGCATACATATATTCTATGTGATGGTTTGTATTTTCTCTCTGAACAGATATCGGTTAGCTAAACAAGAACTTTAGTTTGGTTGGTTATCGTGATTTAGATATGGGTATGTCTGCATTGAGTTCTCTTTGCTTTCCAGTGGTCTCATTGCTTTGGTTTGATTTGGTTTTACCCATATGAAAGTTTTGTGGCTGTCTATGGAGTTTGAGCTTTGTTGGGTTAGCTAGCATGTTACTGTGATTAGTTGTTTTGATTTAGAAGTGGCCACTGGTATGCATTCAGTTCTGTTGCAAGGTTACTTTGCTTTGTTTTTACCCATATGACATTTCAAGTTTTTATCTGGATTTGAGCTTTGTTGGCTCAGTAAACATGTTACTTTGTTAGCTATTATAAGTAATGTTGTCAGAATGCTGAAGACTAAGTCGTAATGCCTCCTAGAGGGGGTTCCATTGTGAGCAAATAATTGATTAATAGCTGCAACGACACAAATTTTAGTGGTTTGTTTCTTTTTAATATATTTATCCATTAATATTTGAACTCCCCTACTGTCACTACTGTTGGAAGGTTCAGCGTTAGATTCTCTCCCCTTATCCTGGCTCAGATTTGCATCCCTATCTTCCTTAAGTCTCATCCACTCGCGAAGCTCTAGTAAGTAGCCCTTAATGCTCCCTAGCTCTTCCCTTACAGTCCCCATTTCTTTCTCAACGTTCCCCATTTTCGTTTCCAATCCTTCAACTCTATTCTCCATCTTCGATTTAACCATTACCCAACGAAACTCTGATACCAATTGTTAAGACTCCCTGCAACAATAACAAGCAACAGCACAAACAGTCCAAGATAACAGAAAATATTCACTCCATCGAGTCTCAACCAGAGTATATTTCTAGAAAATGGAAAAGAAGCAACCAAACAAATAGAAACCAAACAGATAGATCCCAGCAATTCGAGGAGCTGGGGACCTCCCACAATGACACTATATTAATCTCTATCTTCACCAAAACTGACCCTTTATTTATACTTCATGACTACCTATTCTCTATACTAACAACTTTGATTCCCCACTCACATGTGACTGTAACCAATTTCCCTAAAAACCAACAGCAAGGCACCTCACACTCTTTACACTTTCTAACCCAATTGTCCCTTATGCCCTTTGTATTGATAAACATGTTTAATGGGAGGTCTATCAGTAATCAATCTACATCAATCTTTTAAATATATACACTTTTCATAATGAGTTTCCTAACCCAAGAGGGCAGATCATTATATATACAAATCACAGGCATACTAACATTATGAACTAGGAAATAGTTCTATATAGATTCCATCTTATCAAACAACATAATCATTCACAGTATCAGATATTATTGCACCAAACCTTACTACAGTAATCAATCTCTAACTGTTCAACAACATCTTCACGAAGTGGAAGCCAATCCAGGCCCCTTTTACGAGCAAACCAATGACCTCTAAGAACACATCGATTGTCTCCATTCCAATAAACAGGGAAACAATGTCTCTTTACCAAATCTACCTGCAACATTTTTAAGGATTTGATCTTCAGAAGTATTCTCTGAGTTGAGTAATAAAAAAAGACGGCTCTTAAATATAAATCAATAATTAAAAAAATCAAATTAAAATTTATGCTCAAAAGTTCAGAGTTTCGCAGACCAGAATATATAAATAATTAAAAAGGTCAAAACATAAGTTTTTAAAATAACTAAATGAATAAAGAACAAGAAACATGGCATCCAGATCTACATGACAAAAAAATAACAGTAATAATAATAAGAAGTTAATAAATCATGTCTTAAGCCATATTTCACTCTTACTCAACACGCACAACAATTACAGCTGAAACCTCAGAAAAAGGGTTACCTCATAAAGTCCTCCCTTTACAGGAACTCCAACCCTTTCTTCTTCTACATATAGCTAGGAGTAATTTCTGAGGAAGCAAGACTTGGTTGCTTTTCCAATTTCTTATTGGAACTAGGTTGTTCCTTTGGACCTTCACTACATTCTGCATACTCTTTCCACCAACTAGAGAGCAATTCTTCTTGTGTCTGTAAAGGTACATTCAACAGATAAGCATTTAGCAAATTGCATTAATGAGAAAGACATGTCTAACAGTTGGATGCAAATATTGCTCAACAAAAGTTTCTTAGAACTAAAATCATTTTATATTAAATCACCTTTATGGGTTGCTTCTAACCATGCCTCCCAAATATCTTACGGAAATTTCATAAAATCTTGCATCAGAATAAAATATTAACTAGAAGGAACTTATTTGTTAATCAAAAGAGGTTGATGGTCTGAAAGCCAACCCAAAATCCTTATAAAAATCGAAGGAAAATCATAATCATTTAACAGACCTACAAGAAGGATGTCTCTATTGCAAGAGAATCTCTCATACCAAAACAAACTCGTTCATTCTTTCCCACTATCTCAGTTCGAGGAAGTGAAGTAGCTGGCTCTGTAGAGTCACAAAAGGAGCAATATTTCATCAAAATTCACACGTATCTTAGCATTCGAAGGTGAAGCAGTTGGAACTACCCATATTCAATGGGGAAGATCCTTATGGATGGACATGCAGAGCTGACCGATATTTTTCTGTGAATCAATATAAGGAGAAAGAAAAGGTGGCAGTAGCCGCCGTGTGTATGGAAGGTCGTGCCCTGAATTGGTATCAGTGGGTGGAATCCAGAGCACCCATTGGTTCTTGGACAGATTTTAAGACTGTAGTGGTTGAGAGGTTCAAACTGTCATTTAAAGGATCAACTTATGAAGCTCTGGTAGCTCTGAAGCAGACTGGTACAGTGACGGAGTACAGGGAAAATTTTGAAGCTCACGCAGCTCCCTTACGTGAGGTAGGAGAAGATATTCTGATGGGGGTTTTTACAAATGGGCTAAAGGAGGAAGTTAGAGCTGAAATTCGTTTAACTTAGCCCACTTCTCTGTTTGCATTGATGGATCAGGCCTACCGCATGGAGGAAAGAAATTGGGTCTTAGACAAGAACAAGCCCAGGTTTGCTAAAGCCCAAGGAAACAAATTGGACTCTTACACTCGGGTCACCCTAAGCCCAAGCCCAGAACCCATTCGCCTAAATTATTGGACTAACCCATCGCGAAATCCAGATCTAGGTCACCAATTTTCCGCAAATCGATTTCACGATAGAAATCGATTAAGCGACGCGACAACGCATAACTTTCGCGGGGATAATTTCCGGCGAATGTCCGATGCCGAGCTACAACAAAAACGAGAAAATGGTCTTTGTTTTCGTTGTGATGAAAAGTTCGGGCCAAACCACCGCTATCGGAGCAAATCGATCCAGATCTTGTTGGTGACCGACGACGATGAGACAGCAAACGACGAAAGCACTCCTGAACCCACCTCAGAAAATAACGATGAAGGTAATCCATTGGCTTTGTCTATCCATTATATTGTTGGGGTAACCATAGATAAAACCTTAAAATTAAAAGGGCTGATTGGAAGAACTGAGGTGATTGTTCTGGTTGACAGTGGGGCTTCCCACAATTTTATTTCGCATGATTTGATGCGAAAATTAGGTTTAGCAGTGGAAAGGGGAAAATCATTTGGGGTTATGGTGGGGAATGGTTTTACAATCAGAGGGGAGGGCATTTGCAGGGGAGTACAATTGAGGATACAGGGGATTGAATTGCGTCAGGATTATTTTCCTTTTGAGTTAGGAGGGGTTGATGTAGTGTTGGGGGTTTCTTGTCTCAATACGCTGGGCGGTGATTGTGCGAACTGGAGGAATCTGACAATGGCCTTTATCAGTGAAGGGAAGAGGGTGGTTTTACAAGGAGACCCGTCGTTAGTCAAGACGATTGTATCCTTAAAAGCAATGCTGAAATTCCTACAGCAGGAGGATGCTGGATATGTGATTGAGTTTTGTTCCATTGGTGTCAATGAAGAGGAAACAGAGGAACACATGGATCCGGCAGTAGCAGCAGTCGTAAATAAATTTAGTCATCTGTTTGAACAACCTACTCAGCTCCCACCTAAGAGATCCAATGACCACGCTATAGTCTTAGAAGCCAATGCCAAACCTCCTAACATTCGCCCATACAAATATTCCTATTCCCAAAAAAATGAAATCGAAAAGTTGGTGGGTGAGATGTTGGTGGCAGGAATTATACAACCCAGTATCAGTCCTTTTGCTAGTCCTGTGTTGTTGGTTAAGAAGAAAGACGGTAGTTGACGTTTTTGTGTGGACTACAGGGCACTAAATAACATCACAATACCCGACAAGTTCCCTATTCCCTCCATTGACGAACTGTTGGATGAACTATCAAGGGCAGCCATTTTCACGAAATTAGACCTAAAATCAGGTTACCACCAATTAGGGTTAAGGAAGAGGATGTTCCCAAAATAGTTTTTAGGACCCACGAAGGGCATTATGAATTCCTGGTCATGCCTTTCGGATTAACAAATGCCCGCTCCACTTTTCAAGCTTTAATGAATACCATATTTAAACCGGTCTTGAGGAAATTCATACTTGTGTTTTTTGACGATATCCTTATTTACAGCCTCGATTTGAAGACTCATCTGATCCACATGAGATACACTTTTCAAATCCTCAACAAGCATGAATTGGTCATAAATTTCAAGAAGTGTATTTTTGGCTGTCAAAGATTGGAGTATTTGGGTCACTTAATTTCAGCAAAAAGGGTATAGGTTGACCCACATAAAATTGATTCAATGCTGACTTGGCCCGTCCCACGCACAATCAAAGGACTAGGGGGATTTTTGGGTTTAACTGGTTACTATCGCCGTTTTGTGCAGAATTATGGTTTAATCGTGTAGCTGTTGACACAGTTGCTACGTAAGGACTCCTTCGCATGGGATGACCATCCACAATAGGCTTTTGAAACTTTTAAAACGGCAATGACTTCAGTTCCAGTGCTGGTTGTACTCGACTTTACTCTTCCATTTGAGGTTCATACCGACGCATCGGGACAAGGAATTGGAGCTGTCCTAGTCCAAAATCAGCGGCCTATTGCATTCATTAGCCAAGCTTTTTCCTCCCAGTCCCGACAAAAATCAGCATACGAGAGGGAGCTGATGGCAATTGTGTTTGTTGTCCACAAATGGAGCCATTACCTTAGTGGACGCAAATTTATCATTAAATCTGACCAGCGCAGCCTACAGTTTCTGACAGATCAATGTGTCAAGACACCCGAACAACAAAAGTGGATTTCCAAACTCTTAGGATTTTCTTTCAAAATCCGTTACCAACCTGGAAGCTCAAACCAAGTGGCTGATGCCTTGTCTAGATGAGGGGAAAGTGCTGAGTTGGAGGCCATTTCGGTAGTACAATTTTCAGAATTGGATGAGTTAGCCGCCGAAGCATAGCAAGATCCAAAGCTCCAAGCAATCATCCAAGACCTTCTTTTTGACCCTACCAGTTGTACCCATTATGGTTTTCGCCGTGGCTGCCTCATCTACAAAAACAGGTTGGTCTTACCCAGAAATTCGAAATTCATCCGTAAACTTTTAGATGAATTTCACAGCAGCCCGGGGGGGGGGGGGGGGGGGGCGGGGGGGGGGGGGACCATTCAGGCTTTTCAGAACTATAAGAAGTTGATGAATATCGTGTTTGGGATGGTATTAAGAGGGATGTGTAGGATTATGTCCAACGGTGTTCCATTTGCTAATTAAATAAATATTCTGCTCTCAAACCAGCAGGTCTTCTTCAGCCTTTACCCATCCATTCCGGGTTTTTGAAAATATCAGCATGGACTTCATTGGAGGGTTACCAAAAGCAAAAGGACAGGTACCATACTGGTTGTGGTGAATCGACCATTAAATAAGGACATTTTATTCGCTGTGCCATCCCTACAACGCTAAGGATGTTGCTGCCATTTTTATCTCTGATATTGTGAAGCTCCACGGATTTCCCAAGTCCGTAGTTTCGAACCGTGATAGGATCTTTATCAGCCAATTTTGGCAGGAGCCGTTCGAGGCCGCCGACACTTCGCTGAAGTTCAGTTCTGCATATCATCCTCAAACCGATGGCCAGACGGAGGTTGTCAACTGATGTTTAGAAACTTACCTGCGATGTTTCTGTAGTTCATAACCAAAACAGTGGCATAGGTGGCTGTCCTGGGCAGAATATTGGTACAATACCACACATCATAGCTCCATTAAAATGACTCCCTTCAGAGCCCTATACGGAAGGGATCCACCCACTTTACTCGAATTTACAGATTACCCTTCCTCTGTGGAAGAAGTCCCATTAAACATGTTTATCAATACAAAGGGCATAAGGGACAATCGGGTCAGAAAGTGTAAAGAGTGTGAGGTGCCTTGCTGTTGGTTGTTAGGGAAATTGGTTACAGTCACGTGTGAGTAGGGAATCAAAGTTTTTATTATAGTGAATAGGTAGTCATGAAGGTAGTATGAATAAAGGGTCAGTTTTGGTGAAGATAGAGATTAATATAGTGTCATTGTGGGAGGTCCCCAGCTCCTCGAATTGCTAGGATCTATCTGTTTGGTTTCTATTTGTTTGGTTGCTTCTTTTCCATTTTCTAGAAATATGCTCTGGTTGAGACTCGATGGAGTGAATATTTTCTGTTATCTTGGACTGTTTGTGCTGTTGCTTGTTATTGTTGCAGGGAGTCTTAACAATTATCTTCTTTAATATATGCAATTTTAGGATGCGATGGCTTTCTGACAATAGCAGTCTGTAGTTTCTTTATCTTTTAAGTTGTACTTTTATTGTCATTCTCTCCTTTTAATTAACTGCATTCGGCATTATGTGTTGTTTTACCATTTTTGTATGGGAACAGTAAGAAGTTTGACTTTCCCTAGGTTTGAAACAGGAGAAGATTTCAATCCTCTGGACTTTTTGGAGCTCGAGTTGATTTACAAGGCTCTACCCCAGTATGTATATTGCCTTGTGGATTGGAATTTCCAATACCTGATTATGAATGTCTGCTGCATATGTTTATGAAAAGATTAATGTATCTTGAGGTTGTGCATGTAGGGACTTCATGCAATTTTTACTAGCGAGGATGATACCTAGGAGTCTTGGCTCAATGTTGATGCTTCTGGTTTTTCTGGTGTCATTAGTTTCAGTGGAAATGGAATTAAGTTAAGGCGTGGTTATTCGAAATCCCAGTAAAAAAAAAACCAAGCCAGGTCTCTAATCTTTCCCTTTTTAAATTTTTACTAGCATAAGAACTTCTAGCATCTTCATTTGTGCCTTATGCTTCAGGAATATGTAATTAGATCTCGGTTAGGGAATTTAATAGCATTTCTTTTTTTGGAATATATTATAAGTAATTTATGCTTGATTAAATAAATTAAGTTGGAACTTTCTTTCATCAAATTTGTCTACTTCCGTTTGAAAATACTTTTGATTAGTGGGGATTATTTTTTTTTAAAGAATTGGAAGTAATGTTATTTATGTGTTTTCCACCTACATTCAGGAGGAATTGCATCAGCAGAAAGAAGAGGAAATGGATGATTATTGTTCTCAGGTATGTAATCTGGCATTTTGATTCTTGATCTTATTTGTCTTGTTTTCACCATTAAAATTATGCATGCCATTATTAAGTTTCCCTAAAATGCAATTTGGCAATTTTTCTTGATTATTAATTTAAATAATATCTTTACAAATTCAGGGTTTCTTATGAATAAAAAAACATGAGGTGTTTTTTTTTTAGGGAGGCTAAATTCGTTATATTTGTAAGAAAGTCAAGGCGCATTGTCTCTTTTTAGTAGACAATGATCCTTGGGTGCAATGGTGATTAAGTGAGTAGGCAAATATATATTTAATCCTGACAGGAGACATTCTCTAGGATATAAGCTAACACGAGTATATGATTCACCTATTTGTCTTATTATTATAACATGCTGGTCATTGTATCTAAGTGTAGAATAGATGAACATCTAGTAAAATATAAGCGATAGACATAAATAACATTACATCAAAAAAACAATCGCTAGTGTTGGAATATTTGTGGGCCTATAATGAAACGTCTTTTTCTCAGTTTTTTATGGATTAAGTGATGCATTCAGTGCCCTTAGATGCTAGCATCTATTGCCATATATTTGCTATGATCATTTTTGTAATGCCCATACGGAGGTATGTAATTTAATTTATGTTTTTATAGCCCTTAGTTGATTTTGGTTAAAGTTATTTTGAGAGAATGTGAAGAAAATGCCTTAAATTTGTATTAAGGGTAAAATAGTATTTTCATTCAAAATTAATTGAAATTGTGGGGAGTGAAAAGAGATACAATTTCATGGAGAATGCAATAAAAATGAGGGCATTATAGTAATTGACTAAGGGACAAAGATGAAATTTTTAAGAAAGTGTAAGGGCAAAATGGGAAAGTATGTTTGTAAAATAAGATATTAAGGGTTTAGTCTTACGAGCCCTTTTATTTCTCTTCTTAAACCGCCACTTTCCTTCTCCATTTTCTCTCAACTTTCAAACAAGCAACTCCGAGTAACGGTTCTGCATATCCTGCTCCACCTCCCATGTAGCTTCTTCAACTTTATGATTTCTCCAGAGGACTTTTACTAAAGGGATACTTTTGTTCCGGAGCTCTTTAATCTTTCTGTCTAAAATCTGCACTGGATGCTCCTCATACACAAGATTCTCTTCCAAGTCTACGTCCTCTATGCTCAGAATATAAGGGGGATCACTTATATACCTTCGAAGCATCGAGACATGAAATACATTGTGAACTTTGTCCATACTGGGTGATAGTGCTAATCTGTAGGCCACCTTTCCTACTCGCTGTAACACCTCAAATGGATCAATGAATCTCGGTGCTAACTTTCCTTTATTATCGCATCACCCGTTTGTAGGGGAAACTTTTAGAAACTTTGTCATCCACTTCAAACTCAACTTCTTTTCTTTTCAGATCAGCATAGCTTTTCTGCCTATCTTGGGTTTGTTTCATTTTGCTTCTGATCAGTTTCACATCTTCTATCATTTTTTGAGTCATTTCTGGCCCAAAAGCTATATTTAACTCATCTTTCTCGCCCATCTCATCCCAATGCAGTGGAGATCTACATCGTCTGCCATACAAGGCCTCGTAAGGAGCCATTTTAATTGTAGACTGATAGCTATTATTATAAGCAAACTCCACCAAAGGTAACATCTCATGCTAGGATAATTTATAATCCATACAGCATGCTCTCAACATGTCCTCAAGCACTTGATTTGTTCTCTCTGTTTGACCATCTGTCTGAGGATGATAGGCGGTATTAAAAGCCAACATGGTACCCAAGTTCCTCTGTAAACTCATCCAAAAAGTTGAGACAAATTTGGAATCTCTGTCTGATACTATTGTCTTGGGTACACCATGAAGTTTCACTATCTTTTTAATATACATTTGGGCCAATTGATCCGAAGTGGTACTCTCCTTTACTGGAAGAAAATGGGCTGATTTAGTCAATCTGTCTATAATCACTCATATAGCATTGTATCATTTCTACACTCTAGGGAGACCTGTAATAAAATCCATCGAGATACTCTCCCATTTCCATTCAGGAATACTAAGTGGCTGAAGCAACCCTGATGGCCTCTGGTATTCTGCTTTCACTTGCTGACAAATCATTTAGCTACAAACTCTGCAATACCTTTCTTCATATCTAGCCACCAATAGCCTTTCTTTAAATCTTGATACATCTTGGTTGCTCCAAGATGAGCAGTGTACGGTGTGTCATAAGCCTCTATAAGGATTCTCTTTCTCAATTCAGCATCCTGAGGAATACACAACCGACTCCTAAAACGGAGGACATCATCCAACAACTGAAACTCTGATGTCTTGCCCTCATGCACCTACTAAACTATTTTCTGACACCATTCATCTGTTAGTTGCATTTCTTTAATTTCTTCCAGTAAAGTAGATTGAATCTTTAACCTGGCAATCCTTCATGGTATGACCTCAATCTGCTCTTTACTTTCTATTAACTCTTTCTGTCTTGTGGGTCGGGACAAATAAGATTTTCTGCTCAAAGCATTGGCTACTACATTAGCTTTCCCTAGTTGATACTTAATTTCACACGCGTAATCTTTAACCAGCTCTAGCCATCTTCTCTGTCTCATATTCAACTCATTATGAGTAAAGAAATACTTTAAACTCTTATGGTCGGTGTAGATATTACTCTTGGCACCATAAAGGTAATGCCTCTAAATCTTCAAGGCAAAGACTACTGCTGCCAATTCTAAATCATGTGTAGGGTATCTTGTTTCGTACTCTTTCAATTAACGATAAACATAAGTTATAACCCTACCTAACTGCATCAATACAGCACCAAGTCCCTGCAGTGAGGCATCTGTAAAAATGTCATAATTTACACCTTTCTGTGGTAATACTAGCACGGGAGCTATCGTTAATCTTCTCTTCAACTCTTGAAAACTCTCTTTACAGGCAACTGACCATATAAAAGGAACTCTCTGCTTGGTAAGAGCTGTTAATGACTTAGCCAACTGGGCAAACCCTGCCACAAACCGTCGGTAGTAACCAGCTAGTCCCAAGAAACTCCTCATTTCTTTTACTGTCTTCGGCCTTTGCCATTCTAGGATTGCCTTTACTTTACTAGGATCCACTAAAATCCCCTTGCTAGAAATAGTATGGCCTAGAAATATCACCTGATCAAGCCAGAACTCAAATTTAGAAAACTTGGCATACAACTTCTTTTCTCTCAATCGCTGCAGCACAAATCTTAAGTGTTCCTCATGCTCTTCTCTCGACTTCGAATAAACTAGGATGTCATCAATAAATACCACTATAAACTGATCCAGACAATCATGGAACACTCGGTTCATTAAGTCCATAAAGACTGCTGGGGTATTAGTTAAGCCAAAAGACATCACCACAAATTCATAATGCCCATATCTTGTCCAGAAGGCAGTCTTAACAACATCTTGTTCTGCCACTTTTACCTGATGATAACCCGACCTCAAATCAATCTTGGAAAATACTGCTGCACCCTTTAACTGATCAAAAAGATCATTTATCCGAGGTAACGGGTATTTATTCTTCACTGTCACTTTATTCAACTCTCTGTAATCAATACACATCCGTAATAACCCATCTTTCTTCTTTACAAACAAGATTGGAGCTCCCCAGGGAAAATGACTTGGTCGGATAAAATCTTTATTTAGGAGTTCTTGGAGTTGTTTCTTCAATTCTAGAAGCTCGGCTGGGGCCATTCGGTAAGGGGCTTTAGATATTGGTGTTATTCCCGGTGCCAATTCAATACTAAACTCAACTTCTCTTTCCGGAGGCATACCCGGTAAGTCTTTCGGAAATACATTTGGAAATTCTCGGACTACTGGCACACTCTGCAATTCTGGTTGTAGGACATCTCTACTTTGCACTACATGGGCTATATACCCAAAACACCCTTTTCTTAGCATCTTTCTAGCCTTTATGCTACTAATCAACATACTCAATTGATGACCCTCTCCGAAACTAAACTTATCTCCACTATCAAGATTAAATCTCGTTTTCTTCTTCCGACAATCAATTTCTACTCCATACCTCCTCAGGAAATCCATACCCAAAATCACATCAAAGTCAGACATATCAAACACTATTAAATTAACTGCTAACTCCCGACCATGGATCACCACAGACTCTCCTGACAAATTCTCATGGGTCACAACACTAACCCCATCAGGTAACTCTATCTTAATGGGTCGACTCACTCTAGTAGGTTTCAAACCTAATCTTTCTATCATCCCATAAGCTATAAATGAATGAGTGACTCCAGAATCAATTAAGACATAAAGAGGAATTGCATGAAATAATAACTAACCAGTAACAGCTGATGGACTAGCCTCTACTTCATCTTGTGCTACTGTAAACACCCTGACATTAGTGTCGCTGGAATTCTGTGCTGCAAATGGAAGAGGAGCTTTACAATCTTTCATCAGATGCCCTGGTTGTCGGCATCGATAACATACATTACGGCCTAACTCTCTCAAACACTCTCTTGGATGAGTCTTCCCACATTTAGGACATGGGGGAAACTCCACTGTTCTCGGCCGTTTATTTAGCCAATCTTTTCTGTTCTTCTTTGGCTGAAACTTCTTCTTATTCTTCACTTCTCTATTTTTTGCACTCCCAAATCTTTCTCTCTACGGAGCAGGAGAGGGTTCACTTGGTCCCGCTGGAGTGAGCTTGTTTACAAAAATTTCTACCCTTAAAGCTCGCTCTAAAGCTTCACTATAGGTTTGAGGGGGCTCAGCTCCTGTCATTACATCCCGGGCTATCTCTGGCTTCAACCCATGGACAAACTTATCTCATCTCGATTCTGGGGTACTGACTATTCCGAGTGCAAACTTGGTAAGGGAATTAAACCTCACAGAATACTCTTTCACTGTACTTGACCCTTGCTTCAAATTAATAAACTCTTGTATCTTCTCATGTACCCGATCCACTGTTCTGTACTCGGCATCAAAAAATCTTCTAAACTCGCCCTAGGTCATCACAGGAACATCATGAGTGTCTTCCATCAATTCCCACCAAATTCGGGCATCACCCCGAAACAAGAAACTGGCATACCGGATCTTTTCCTTGTCCGTCATAGGAAACAGTGCCGTCGTATGTTCAACGGACCTAAACCATTCTTCTGCCACTAAAGGGTCTGTTATACCTTTAAATGCTGACGGCTGATGTTGACTTAGAAGCTCATAAATCGGTTCAATCTGATTCTATACTGTTTGAGGTACCGGCCTTTCTCTTTCCCCTCTAATAGGCGGTATTTGAACGGGGGTTTCAATTATTTCTGGTTCAACTCTCCCCTATCTTTCTACTAAGACTTGCTGTACAATCCCCCGTATTCTAGCTTCATCAAGGGTAGGGGGAGTAGGTTCTGGTTTGTTAGAAGGTTCCCCCGTACTCCCTGTTTTCTTACTACTTGCTCGGGTTCTATGTCTCATTTACAAAACAACCATATTTAATCAACTCATGCAACACTTTAAGTAAGGAAAGAAAAATTTAACTTATAACGGTCGGCTACGGAACGTCGCGGCGATGAGAGTGGCACACGTCAAATCCCAAAATCTTTGCTGTGATACAAAAAATGTAATGACTTCTTTCTACTAGTTACTTTAAAACATATACAATAAAAACATACATACTTAGCATAGGAAAAATAGTTGGGCCCAAATTTTTCTTTACTTATAAAATATAATTGTTTACATATACCAAAATAACGAGTACAAAAACTTTAGCAACGGTGGACAGTAATGCCAATTTTCTTTGCTTGTCGACTTCCTTCCGACCCTGCTCACCAATTTCCTACAAAACATGAAAAAACAACAGGGTGAGCACAAAAATGCTCAGTAAGTAAATCCCTTATCTCTTCTCCTTCTTTGGTTCTTTCCTTACTTAATTCTCTTCTTCTTTCTTTCGTTCCTAGTTCTTTCTCTTTTCTTATCTGTTTCTAATTCTTACTGTTCTTTCTTTCTTTCTAATTTTCGCTGTTCTTTCCTTCTCTCTGTTTTTTCGTTCTATTTTTTCTATTCTTTCTAACCATGATCGAATTCATGGTAATATACATGAATGATATGCTAATGCATAAAAATGCATTTTTCTTTCTTCTTTCTATTTTTTATTCTATTTCTTTTATTTTCTTTCTATTATTTTCTTTTCTTGTTCTTGTTCTTTCTTATTCCTTCTTTTCTTATTCTTGTTCTTTCTTATTCCTTCTTTTTTTATTCTTATTCTTTCTTTTCTTATTCTTTGCCGATCGGACTCGGTTGATGCATGGATTCGGAACCTTGACCGTGTGAGTGAGTACAGTCCTTATCTACATGCACTCTTGCGGACCGTATAAATTCTTTCTTTCTTCTTAGACCACTCAATTAAGGTGGCATGCATATAAGAATTTTTTTTGGTACAACCCTCATCCACATACACTCTTACAAGTCGTACAATTCTTCTTCTTCTTATGCCACTCAATTAAGATGGCGTGTATGTGAGAATTTTTTCTTAGCACTCACGGTTCCCCATCACAACAGCCTATTATTTTCTTTTCTTTAATGCTTTTTCTTTCTTTAATTCTTTAGTGTTTTTTCCTTCTTTCTCTTTATTCTTAGAGTATTTTATTCTTAAAATTCTTTATCCTTTCTTAAGTATCACATATATACAAATATATGCATATGGATGACTCATGCTTAGAATTCTTACTTAAATGCATTTATGAAATGCAAATATGCAATGTTGCATAAAATTAAGGTTTCTACTCATATTCATGTTTCTCTTAGGCATTTCATCAAACAATAAATGTGCATATATAAACTCAACTTTAACTATAATTCTATTTGTTTCTTAAACCATCCAAAATGAGAGTAAAACTCTCTTGTATCATCACAATCCCTATCACGGCAAAAACACTCTCAAAACTTTCTTAAACTCTTCCAATTTCAACCAAACTTCAATCTATCATCATACAATAAAAAACACTTCTCATACTCACATATATCCAACAAGAAGCATAAATAATCACCAATCTCATCTCAATTTCCCAACAATCATAACATATACATGCTTAAAGAAATCTCTACTGAATTGATTTCTTAAACTTTAACTTGAGTTGGATTTTGAGTTAAATTTACTTACCTTATACATGAGTAGTCTAAACTAAAGCTCTCTACCCTTGTTGGACTCAAATTTCCCCTTAACCTTAAGCATAAACTTAATAAGAATTCAACTTCTACACAAGTAAATCTTATATATATAGCAAGAATTCTTACCTCTTGTTGCCTAGAACCAAAACCTTGTCAAAATCCACTCAAAAGCCCTAAAAGATACTTGGAAAATTGAGTGAAAAGTTGAGAGAAAATGGAAAAGGAAAGTGGCGGTGGAAGAAGAGAAATAAGGGGGTTTGTAAGACTAAACCCTTAATATCTTATTTTACAAACATACTTTCCCATTTTGCGCTTACACTTTCTTGGAAATTTCATCTTTGTCCCTTAGTCAATTACCATAATGCCCTCATTTTTGTTGCATTCTCCATGAAATTTTATCTTTTTTCACTCCCCACAATTTCAACTAACTTGTGTAGAAGTTGAATTCTTATTAAGTTTATGCTTAGGATTAAGGGGAAATTTGAGTCCAACAAGAGTAGAGAGCTTTAGTGGAGACTACTCAAGTATAAGGTAAGTAAATCCAACTCAAGTTAAAGTTTAAGAAATCAATTCAGTAGAGATTTCTTTAAGCATGTATATGTTATGATTGTTGGGAAATTGAGATGAGATTGTATATGTTATGATTGTTGGGAAATTGAGATTAGATTGGTCATTATTTATACTTCTTGTTGGATATATGTGAGTATGAGAAGTGTTTTTGATTGTATGATGATAGATTGAAGTTTGGTTGAAATTAAAAGAGTTTAAGAAAGTTTTTGGAGTGTTTTTGTCGTGATAGGGATTGTGATGATACAAGAGAGTTTTACTCTCATTTTGGATGGTTTAAGAAACAAATAGAATTATAGTTAAAGTAGAGTTTGTATATGCACATTTATTGTTTGATGAAATGCTTAAGAGAAGCATGAGTATGAGTAGAAACCTTAATTGTATGCAACATTGCATATTTGCATTTCATGAGTGCATTTAAGTAAGAATTCTAAGCATGAGCCATAAATATGCAAATATTTGTATATATGTGGTACTTAAGAAAGAATAAAAAATTTTAAGAATAAAACACTCTAAGAATAAAGAGAAAGAAGGAAAAAGCACTAAAGAATTAAAGAAAGAAAAAGCGTTAAAGAAGATAAAAGAATAGGTTGTTGTGATGGGAAACCGTGAGTGCTAAGAAGAAATTCCCACATACACGCCATCTTAATTGAGTGGCATAAGAAGAAGAAGAATTATACGACCCGTAAGAGTGTATGTGGATGAGGGTTGTACCAAGAAGAATTCCTATATGCATGCCACCTTAATTAAGTGGCCTAAGAAGAAAGAAATAATTTGTGGGATCCGCAAGAGTGCATGTAGATGAGGACTGTACTCACTCACACAGCCAAGGTTCCGAATCCATGCATCAACCGAGTCTGATCGGCAAAGTATAAGAATAAGAAAAGAAGGAATAAGAAAGAACAAGAACAAGAAAAGAAAAGAATAGAAAGAAAAGAAAAGAAATAGAAATAGAAAGAAGAAAGAAAAATGCATTTTTATGCATTATTGCATATGCATATCATTCATGTATATTACCATGAATTCTACTATGGTTAGAAAGAATAGAAAAAATAGAACAAAAGAACAGAGAGAAGGAAAGAACAGTGAGAATTAGGAAGAAAGAAAGAACAGTAAGAATTAGAAACAGGGAAAGAAAAAAGAAAGAACTAGGAACGAAAGAAAGAAGAAGAGAATTAAGTAAGGAAATAACCAAAGAAGAAGAAGAGATAATGGATTTACTTACTGAGCATTTTTGTGCTTACCTTGTTGTTTTTCCATGTTTTGCAAGAAATAGGTGAGCAGCGGTCGGAAAGAAGTCGACAAACAAAGAGAATTGACATTACTGTCCACCGTTGCTAAAGTTTTTGTACTTGTTATTTTGGTATATGTAAATAATTATATTTTATAAGTAAAAAAAATTTGGGCCCAACTATTTTTCATATGCTAAGTATGTATGTTTTTATTGTATATGTTCTAAAGTGTACTAGTAGAAAGAAGTCATTACAATTTTATGGAAAGAATAGGGGTAGCAGGAAGCTTGGCAATTTACAGTGGTTCTTATCAATTTAAAACATATGATGAATTAGAATATATAATCAATTTCTAATTTTTTTTTTTTTTTTGTTTTGTGTGTTCAATTCAATGGTTTATTTCCCGTTCTCTTAAATGTTATATAGGTCTTGTTTAAATAAAAAGTTAATTGTGTTTGTTGTCTGTCTTCATTTTGTAACTAAATCTGGGTAATGGTTTGTTGTTGTCTTTTATGTTCTCTTAGTAAAAGTAAATGTCCTTCGCATTTTAACTGAGCCTAAATTTAGCTAGTGATTATGACTTATTTAGTTGCACATTGTTTATTTTTGCCCCTTCCATTTTGGTATTGAATTATTATATGATGATATTATCTAAAATATATTGTGGTAATGATTGATTTTTAAAGTTTAAACTGACAGGAACGAACAGTAGTATTTAAGGTCTAACGTGTCCTTTGATGTGCTCAATTAATTAATTGAGTTGTTATGTGGATACAACCACAAGCCTCGTGGATGCTATTTAAACTGGAATAATATGTTTTGAGTAGATTTTAATCTTTTATTATGTGTTTTGATTAATATAGGTTCCAGTTAAGCACCTTGTCTTTATGGTACCCAGTATTGGTCAGAGGTTGGAGAAATCTAAATTGGTTGATGATGTCGGCAACTTTCGCCATATTACAGCAATTCTTGCTGAACAACACCTTACTACAGACCAATGTGGCACCCAGGGAGTTATTTATATCCCTTGCCAAGTGAATAAGAACTTATTTTCTACCTAATGGACTCTCTCTTCTGTATGTAGTTTGATTCTCTTGTGTCAATTACCCGTCTCAAGCTGTTTGGAATATGAAAATGCATAATGTTTGATGCAGTTTTGATGAAATTAGGCTCTGTTTTATGTGAAGCTAATATGGACCAACGAGATTGTAGATGTGTTTGTGGATAGTGCTGTGTATCTTAGTTATAATGTCTCTCTTTTGATTTCTTTCTCTCTCAATCTCTCTTCCTTTTTTGGAAAACTAAAAAATTATGTGTTCATATTGTTAAGAGGCTATGTAATTGCTTCTTATTCAATGAATGAGGCATGCGCATTTTGTATATTATGTAGATGATGAAACGTTTATGGCATTTCACTATGCCTAGTTTTTATTCAATTTGATAGGTTGTTTTTATGTTTTCTAACTAGAAATGGTAACACCATTTCATTGAGAAGTATATCTCTCATTTGTCTATTTTTACAGATATACCATCATGTCATCACTTGTTTTTAATTGCTTATTTTTTGTCATGTGGAAATTTGTAATTATTTTCCACCAGGAAAGATTTTTACTTTGGACAGTTGTCATAAATTTTTAGTCTACTGCCATCAATTTGTGGAATCATTTAAAAGAGCCGTGTAATATTGAACTTGATTTCTGTCAAAATCAGCATCTCGGGAAGGATTGAATTTATTTTGTCAATTTGAAATGATATGAAACAGTATTGGGTTTGGGTTCCTGAAATGATCTGGTAATTATTATAAGCCGGTTGGATATCAGTGATTTGCTACTTAATCTTGGTACTGTTAAGACTCCCTGCACTATCAACCAACAAACACACAAGCAATCCACAAAACAGAAAGTAATATACTTAATGAAGTCTCAACAAGATTATATTACTGGAAAATAGAAGAATGACCAACAATGTATAAAACACCAAACTGATAGATCCCAGCAATTCGAGGAGCTAGGGACCTCCCTCAATGACAATAGCCTAAAACTTGATAATACTCCAGAACATACCCCTTCTATTTAAACTATCTTCTTAATCACCTATTCTCTACTAACAACTTTGATTCCCCACTCACGTGACTGTAACAGACTCTCCAAACAACCAGGCACCTCAAACCTTGCATTTACTGCTTCAAATGTCTCTTATGCCCTTTAGATTGATAAACATGATTAATGGGAGGTCTATCAATACCCCCTCCCCCACATGAAGAGCCACCTTGTCCTCAAGGTGGAATTGGGGAAATTGCAGATTGATAACATCAAAAGCCTCCCACGATGCTTCAAAGGGAGCCAAATCCTTCCATTTTATAAGGACTTCCCAAGAGCCATCTAATAAAGTGCGGCTGGCCAATACTGATTCTGGGTGAACAAGAAGTTCTAGTTCCTCGGTGAGGAAAGAGGGCAGGGGCTAGATGGGCACCGAGGGGTGCAGACTGCGTTTAAGCTGAGAAATGTGAAATACTAGATGAATTTTTGTCGTAGTGGGTAGCTCTAACTTGTAAGCAACCTGCCCAATCTTTGCTAAGATGGAAAAAGGGCCATAGAATCTCGGGCTCAGTTTCTCATTCAGTTTCTTGGCTAAGGATTTGAAACGATACGGTTGGAGCTTCAAATAGACCTGGTCCCCTGGTTGAAAACTATCATCCCGACGGCGCAAGTCAGTTGTGCCCTTCATCTGTTCTTGAGCAACAGCTAAGTTATGTTTCAATTCCTCCAAAATTGCATTGCGTGCAGCCATTTATTGGTTCACTTCCTCCACAGCAGAAGGGGAATCAGTAAATCTGAGGAGAGTGGGTGGATCCCTTCCATATAGGGCTTTGACGGGAGTCATTTTTATGGAATTGTGATGGGTGGTATTGTACCAATATTCTGCCCACGATAGCCACTTAAGCCACTGTTTGGGCTGCGAACTACAGAAGCAGCGTAGGTAAGTTTCCAAAGAGCGGTTGACAACCTCCGTCTGGCCATCAGTTTGAGGGTGGTATGCTGAGCTGAACTTCAACGAAGTGCCAGCAGCCTTGAATAGCTCCTGCCAAAACTGACTAAGAAAGACCCTATCTTTGTCTGATATTATGGATTTGGGAAATCCATGGAGCTTCACAATAACAGAGATAAAAAGTACAGCAACATCTTTAGCGATGTAGGGATGGCACAAGGGAATGAAATGTCCGTATTTAGTAAGCCTATCCACCACAACCATTATAGTATCCTGTCCTTTTGACTTTGGTAACCCGCCAATGAAATCCATGCTGATATCTTCAAAAACTTGGGTTGGAATCGGTAAGGGCTGAAGTAAACCTGCTGGTTTGAGGGCAGAATACTTATTTAATTGGTAGACTAAGCATTGTTGGACATACCTCTACACATCCTTCTTAATTCCAGCCCAAAACACTATATTCATCAGTTTCTTGTATGTTCTGAAAAAGCCTGAATGGCCCCCTCCAGGGCTGTAGTGAAATTCGGCTAATAGTTTAGGAATGAATTTCGAAGTTGTGGGTAATACCAATCTATTTTTGTAGATGAGACAGCCACGGCGAAAACCATAATGGGGATGGCTGGAAGGTTCAAAAAGAAGGTCTTGTATGATTGCTTGGAGCTTGGGGTCTTGTTGTGCCTCGGCAGCTAACTCATCAAATTCAGAAAATTGGACCACCGAAATGGCCTTCAATTCAGCACCCTCACCTCGTCGTGATAATGCTTCAGCTACCTGGTTTGAGCTGCCAGGTTGGTATTGTATTTCGAAAGAGAAGCCGAGGAGCTTAGAAATCCACTTTTGTTGTTCGGGTGTCTTGGCACGTTGATCTGTCAAGAACTGCAGGCTGCGTTGGTAAGATTTAATGATAAATTTGCGGCCACTAAGGTAGTGGCTCCAGTTGTGGACAGCAAACACAATGGCCATCAGCTCTCTTTCGTACGCAGATTTCTATCAGAACTGGTTGGAGAAGGCTTGGCTAAGGAATGTGATGGGATGTTGATTCTGGACCAGGACAACACCAATCCCCTGTCCCAAAGCGTCTGTGTGGACTTCAAAAGGCAGAGTGAAATCAGGGACTGCCAGAACAGGCACCTCATTCATTGCCGCTTTAAGAGTTTCAAAAGCCTGCTATGCTTGGTCTGTCCATGCAAATGAATCCTTTTTCAGTAACTGTGTTAAGGGCTGCGCGATTAAACCGTAATTCTGCACAAAGCCGCGATAGTAACTGGTTAAGCCTAAAAAACCCCGTAATCCTTTGATGGTGCGTGGGACGGGCCAAGATATCATTGAAACAATCTTTTGTGGTTAGCCTCCACCCCTTTTGCTGGGATTAAATGACCCAAATACTCCAATCTTTGACGGGCAAAGAGACACTTCTTGTAATTGATAACCAATTCGTGCTTGGTGAGAATCTGAAAGGTGTGTCGCATGTGCAGCAGATGGGTCTTCAAATCAGGGCTGCAAATCAGAATATCGTCAAAGAATACAAGTATAAACTTCCGCAAGACTGATTTAAAAATAGTGTTCATTAAAGCTTGAAAAGTGGAAGGGGCATTGGTCAACCCGAAGGGCATGACCAGGAACTCGTAGTGCCCTTCGTGGGTTCTAAACGCTGTTTTGGGCACGTCCTCTTCTTTAACCCGAATCTGGTGGTAACCTGATTTGAGCTCCAGTTTTGTAAAAATGGCTCCCCTGATAGTTCGTCCAATAGCTCATCAATTGAGGGAATTGGGAATTTGTCTGGAATAGTGATGGTATTCAGTGCCCGGTAATCGACACAAAACCGCCAATTGCCATCCTTCTTTTTTACCAATAGAACCGGACTAGCAAAAGGACATATGTTGGGTTGTATAATTCCTGCCATCAGCATCTCACCTACCAACCTTTCAATTTCATTTTTATGGGTAAAGGAGTATTTGTATGGGCGGATTTTGGGTGGTTTGGTATTGGTTTCTAAAACTATGGCGTGGTCAATGGGTCTCTTGGGTGGGAGTGTATTCGGCTGTTCAAACAGGTGGCTAAATCCATCAACAACAGCTGCGGTTGCGGGGTCCATGGGTTCCTCTGTTTCCTCTTCCTTAACACCAATGGAGCATAACTCGACCATATATCCAGCATCCTCTCTCTGCAAAGATTTCAGCATTGCCCTGAGTGATACCACTGTCTTGACTAAAGATGGATCCCCTTGTAGAACTACCCTCTTCCCTTCACTAAAAAATTCCATTGTCAGATTTCTCCAATTTACACAAACATCCCCCAGTGTACTAAGCCAAGAAATTCCTAGCACTACATCTGCCCCTCCTAACTCAAAGGGAAAATAGTCCTGGCACAATTCAATACCTTGCATTCGCAATGGCACTCCTCTGCAAATTCCCCTCCTCGAACTGTAAATCCGTTTCCCACCATTACCCCAAAGGATTTACCTCTCTCCACTGGAAGCTCTAATTTTCGCACCTATTCGTGCGAAATGAAATTGTGGGAAGCCCCTTTGTCAACCAAAACAATCACCTATGTCCTTCCAATCACCCCTTTTAATTTTAGGGTTTTATCAGTGGTGACCCCTACTATTGAATGCATGGATAATGCCAATGGATTACCTTCGTCGGAAATTTCCGAGGTGGGTTCAGGACTGCTGTCATCGTTTTCTGCCCCGTCTCGTCGGTCACTAATAGTATCTGGATCGATTTGCTCCGACAGCGGTGATTTGGCCCATATTTTTCATCACAACGGAAACAGTGACCCTTTTCCCGTTTTTATTGCAACTCGGCGTCGAACATTCGTCGAAAATTATCCCCGCGGAAGTTCTGCGTCGTCGCGTCGCTGCTTAGTCGGTTTCTGTCGTGAGATCGATTTGGGGAAAATTGGGGATTTAGATCTGCATTTCGCGATGTGTTATTCCACCAATTTGGGCGACTAGGTTCCGGGTTTGGGCTTGGGGTGACCCGAGTGTAATAATCCAATTTGTTTACTTGGGCTTTAGTAAATCTGGCCCGATTTTTGTCTAAAACCCAATTTCGTTCCTCCACGTGATGGGCCTGATCCATTAAGGCAAACAGAGATGTTGCTGTTCTATACATTGAAGTGTGTTTCTTATGCCATTGTATTTGTGTTTCAGTGAAGAAAAGGTTTGAAGCTCAGTGGCGAAACTGCAGTTGAAAAGATTACTTTAGATGGTGTACAAGGTTTGCGTGTCATGTTGAGTGCAACAGTTCATGATGTGTTACACTACATGAGCCCCATCTACTGTCAGGATATTATCAACTCGGTACTGCTTATCTTGTTTCCAATTTCTCACCATCTCTTCTTTCATTTCTATCTCCCAATGACTAAGTTGTTTCATTATGCAACTATAAAGCTTCTTTCAATCCAGGTTCCTCGTTTAAAATGACATTTTTCTAAAGCTATAGACCATAATTAGATGGGTTGTTTTGTAGAGCGAATACCTGATCCACTATCTAAGTTTTTCCAAAGCAGTATACGTTTAAGTTTCCTATAAAAAAAAGTTTTAAAATTGCTTCTTCATCCTATGCACACTAAACTGGAACATTGGTCTGTTAGAGATATCTGGAGCATAGACAGTCACATTTTCTTTTGGCAAATATTATGCTATAATTCCTTGTAGTCTTAAAAGAAGAAAAATGTAGCTGATGTCTTGAGCATAAAACAGTCACATTTCAGTCTGTTAAGGTAGAAATTTGAAATTTGTTTGAAGTTTGAACTGATGAAGATGCACTTTTGCTCCTCCAGGTTTCAAACCAATTAAATCTGTTATATCTGAAATTTCTTAAACGAAATCTTGGTTATGATGGAAAGGTATGCAGCTGATATCTCTTTGTTAGGTTGTAATGATTAGGTGACAATTTAGCTTATATTAACATTTGTTTAGGTTTCTATATATGGTCATTCCTTGGGAAGTGTCCTCTCGTATGACATCCTTTGCCATCAAGAGAATCTATCATCCCCGTTTCCAATGGATTGGAACAACAAGATACCATTGAAGAATCTTCCCATGCTATGAACAATAAACCTTCTAATGGTGACTCTTCAACCGATTTGAAGGGTAAAAGCTCCACTGAGACAAATGAAACTAAGGATAAGGTGGGGTCTGCTGACGAGGACAAGATGGGTGTACAATCAACTCATCTAGAGCACCAGGAAGCACCTGCTAAAGATTTTTCCTCTCTTGTGGGTACTGTCGTGTCAGATACTGCAGCAGCTATGGACTTTGAGCAAACAGCTAAAGAAGATACTGATCAATTGGTTCAGAGTTCTAGTGACACAATGTCATCAGATATGGCTGGCTTCAATGAACTACCACATGAACGGTGGTGTCCTGGATGGTATACTAGCGAGAGCGGCTGAGGAAGAGTCCAAAGATACATGTGATAAGGACAACAACACAATTGATCTTCTAAAGAAAGAGGTGCAAGTTTGTACTGTTTTCTTCTTGGCTTTCTTTGAACACTATATGCATTTGTCTTTTATTCATAAGTATGGTCGTATCTTGTTTAATGAGCCAAGGATATAAAATTGACCTTTTCTTGCCAGATACTTTTTGTGAAATCTTTGGTTCATAATAATAAACACCACCTTTTAATGAAATTTTCTGTGTTTCAGATTGATTCCCTGAAAGCCAAAGTAGCAGAGCTGGAATCGTACAATCAAGGTAGAGGTATGTGTGGGCTTGCATTGGGTTAATCTTTGATCTTCACATTCTATTTTTGGTTCTGTGTTATGGAAGGAGCTTTTGTGTGTTAATATCTCTGGGTTTTATTGGCTGCATAAACAGATAAAAATGAGTTACTTGCCATTAAGCCAAAGCAACCCATTTCTGAGAAGCTTGAACCTATGCTAGATGATGAACCAAAGAGTTATACCCCTTATATTAAGTGCACAAAGCTTGAATTCAAGGTCTGAAACAGAACTTCTTACGAGCTATAAATTTAAGATGATGAATCTTGTTACTGATTTGACATTAATTCTTACATACCAGGTTGACACATTCTTTGCAGTTGGATCACCTCTTGGTGTTTTCCTTGCCCTTCGAAATATCCATATTGGAATAGGTAATCCTCAATACACTTGTATGATTGAAATTTTGATGAGTGAATATTCTCACTGTTGGGACATGACATTCAGAGAAGTATTTTGTATATTTGTAAATATTTATATCATTTGGTCGTGGGTGTGGATAAAGAAGTATTACTTTTGTTCCTCACGGTTTTGAGAAATGCTTTCATCTTTAGAATCTCATTAGATCTTTATTGAAGTTTAAAGGTTTTCACGTTTTCGTTATTGGACTTGATTTTACATCAAGTTGAGTGGGAAATTCAGGATAAGTTATGATTAGTTAGAAGAATTTGTTTTCATTACTTTGCCTGTAACTTTGGCAGTTTTTGTTATTAGCAAATTGTATGTTTTTTCTAAAAGCTCATAGATATGTAATATGTAATAAATTCTTGTGTATTTTGATGCTAGTTCAGGCAATCATACATTTTCAACTCAAAAATTTCGTATTTTCAACCATCCTCTAAACATCTTCATCTTTTTGTCGATTGTAATTTTAATTTCTGCATTTTTCTTCGGAACTTCTATTATACTTGGTTCCATACTTGAAGCTCTAGAAATCCAGTCTTTTAGTTGTTTTTTCCTTCTCTGTTATTTGAAACACCTCACCGACACTGTGAAAGCTTGTGAATGCAATGAGGAACCATCATATTTAAAGTTTCGAAATCACCATTTGTTTTTGCTAAGCAAAGAGAAGTAACAATGGGAATTATGTGATAGATTTTGACTATTTAACTTTTCTTCGGGAATAAGATTGTTCTTTTTTGTTTATACATCTTAACTGGGAAGGGGTTTTGGGTTAATATGTGTAGTTTGGTTTCATTTGGCCACGATAAGGAAAATTATCATCGCCTAGTTTTTATTTTCTTCTCTTGTATAGATTTGTTACCTCTACCCTGATTTTTTTTTTCTTTTGTTGGCAGCTTGTCCCCCGGTGTAACTCATGTTGTACTAATACATATTATCAGTTTCTTATAAGAAAAATCATCATCTGTTTATTCAGACTTATTTTGTATATGTGAACATTTTAAATGTATATATCTTAGAATGACGTGATATTTAATTTTTGTAAACGACTCGGTTAATTGGGAGGGCGACCAGAATGTACAAAGGCCTGATAAAGGGCGACCAGCCTATTTTGGGACATGGCCCAAAATAGGAATCAAAGGAAACAAGCCTACAAACGGCCATTCACTCTTGAGGTAAATCTTAAACCAAAAAAACCAAGAAGAAAGCAAGGAGAACAACAACAATTCCACCTACCATAGGACACCTCCCTAGGTTAGGATCATTAAAAGAAAACCACGATATCAAACTCGTTACAAATCATAGAAACACAACCAAGCAAAAATCATTCTGCGTAACCCTCCGTAATCCAGTCTTCAAACGGTGTCGGGAACTTGAGGAACGTCTTTGAAAATAGATCTGGGGAGGCCCCAATCATTCGCCAACTTCCCATTGCTATAGGATACTTTGACATTCCTAAGTTCCATAGCTTTGTCTCTCACAACACTTTTGATAACATCAATTATGGTGAAGGAATCCTTATAGTCACCCCTAAAAATTCGTGAATTCTGCTCCTTCCAAATCCAATAAACCGTAGCCCCTAAACAAAGCCTACCCAAAGTGAATTTTAGACTCTTACCTTTCCATTTCCTTGCCAAATGGGGGATGCAATCATGCTAGGGTCTAACCACATAGCCAAGGTCAGCAAGCATAAGGATCTTACTCCAAATAGACTTAGAAAAAGGGCATGCAAAAAATAAGTGGTCAAGAGATTCCATAGATGAGTTACAAAGGCAACAATGAGCGATAGTAATAGCCCCATACCTCATCAACCTGTCCTTTGTAGGTAATCTCTCCTTTATAGCCATCCATAAGATCATAGAGTATCTTGGGATAGCCTTTGAGAACCACACCAAGTCACACCACTCAACTTTTGCTCTCCTTCCTCTAATTGCCTCCCAAGCCGATTTGGTAGAGAAATCCCCCGAAGGTGAGGGTATCCAACAAATCTTGTCATCNAAATTTTCCCACTTTCTAATACATCCTTATATATGTGAGTTAGGAATTTACTGAAGATATAGCTGCTCACTCTCAGGCAATAGTGGACCAGTTCAACTCTCTAAGGGTGGGTTCTGATACTATTCATTGTTAGTTTCTCTTTTCAACTTCTTCAAAGGCATATTTCTTTTTTATTTTTCAGTTTTTGGGCTTATCTTGTTTCTTTACATGTACTATAGAGCATGACGGTGGTCAGGCTTTTCATTTCTCAACTTTGTAATATAGTATATGCTACATGTTTATAAACTGAGCTTTATTGGATTATGCTAATAATGTCAATATATACATGCATAGCGAATATACATTGACCAATTTGAATTTAGAGTTAAGTATTGTATTTGCTTAAGAATTGAGACTCGTTGTTCTCTATATCTCCTTGAGGAGTTAAAATTCTGTTTCTGAGAATAACTTTTAAGATGATTAAATTCAGTAGAGGTTCAACTTTGTCAGTGTAGCTCTTTTTTTACTCAACCCAGACTGATCATACTCGTTAGAGTGTCATTTTTTTTTTTTCCCCCTCAATGTTAACTAAATATTATGTATGTAACTAAGGGTGGTTTTTTTTGTTCACTGTTGGAGAAATTTAATTTTGATGAAATTCCGACTCAGTTGCTATTCATTTATACATGTTTCTATGTATATATAATATCATTGTATCAATTTAATAGTAGTTGACCTTTAGTTCTTAAGTTTACCCAGAATTATCATGTACATGTTTTGGCCTTTGGTTTCTGATCATGTGTGAGTATTAAAGCTCTGAGTTTTATGTTATTGAAACAGGCTAAAGTACTTACAGTTTGTCAATCGAGAAATGCAGATGCCCTAGAAGGTAATATAATCTTCTAACGCTATTGTTTTAGTGCTTTTCTGTTTCTTCATGTTGTCCTCCTTTTGTACATATGAGTAACAATGGCTTAAGGGACCCACCATTCTTGTACTTACGGTTCCCCTCCATTGTTCAGTAGTAAAAAAAGATAATATGAAAAATAAACAACAAAGCCCCGATCCCATAAATGAAACTTCACTTAATCTATGTTGATTTCTTTTCCATATTTTTTGAATGCACTCAACAATCTTTTTATGTATATTGCAGAGGCAGAAAATGCCGAAGAAAGAGAAGAAAGATCATATGGTGTTATAATGATGGAGAGGCTAACTGGAAGTGTAGAAGGACGGATAGATCACATGCTTCAGGTTTGTAGTGCAGCTTGATGCTTGCATTTACTGCTATATCATGTTATTGCTAATTTTTGAGTGTCTATACCACTGTTATTCACACTTTTAAGTTGATGCCTACTACCCTCCATTGATGCCTATAAGTAATCATAAATTTGAGCCATCATTTTCCCTCCTGAAGGTCTTAATGTTTAACATTGATTAGCCCTTTTGAATGAGTTTATAGTCTTAGTTTACGGATGTCTTCCCTTCACAAAATTTAGAAGAAAAGAAATGAGTTTATAAATGCTGCATAGAAGGCAACTTGCAAGTCTGTTATCCTGTGAAACTACATCTCAGGAGCTTTCCAAATTCCAGAAGTATTGTTATCATCAGAATGTCATAGCTCCACTGTCATAGATGAATTATGTATCTGAAGCCTCTGGGAGTTATTTTGATGGGCTATGAGGGTAGTTGGGATTTGGGAATGCTGGTGTCTTATTGATTGTTAGTCCTTAGCTTCGTAGCCTCTGCTACCATCAATTTGCAAAATACCATGTGAACATAAATATTTGCCAATTGCCATGAGAAGAATGTTCAAAAGGTGATGGACATAGTATAAGATGCTTATTAAGTACATTGAGGATATCGAGTTTCCACCGTCGAACATTTTGCCTGAATGGTTCATTGTTTATTAATAATAGACATGATATTTTACTTTTGTTTTATATATCGTCACTGCAAGCTCATTTGCTGACTTCTTCTAATGTTCATATTGATAATGCAGGATAAAACATTTGAACATCCTTATTTACAAGCCATTGGAGCGCATACGTAAGTACTTTCTACGCTGAACCAAAATAGTTTATTGTTTATACTGTATATGGCTGTGTAGCTTCAGTTTTCAAGTGATGTTGCTTAATTTTGCTGATTACATGTGCATTTGCATGTGTAATATATATATTTTGTTTAATTTGAGTCTCTGTGTACAGAAATTATTGGAGGGATTACGACACCGCCCTTTTCATATTGAAACACTTGTTTCGAGATATTCCTGAAGACCCTAACTCACCTGCATCTTCAAGTGAAGACAACTCAAAGAGGGCTTCCATCGGTTGGTCTGATCAAAGAGAGACAGAAGAAGAACAACTTCCTCTGACATTCTCCGACAGAATGATGGTTAGAAACTTCTCGAGGAAGGCTAATAAGTTTATAAAGAAGCGCTGATTATATCCGAACTCAACCTCCGTCGTTAACCATTTGCTGTCACTAACCATGCTGCGGCATTGAGGGTCATAGCATTCATTCAATTGGGATACTTTTCAGGAGACTCTTGACATTTTTGTTGGTCTGGATTTACACGAGTTATCAAGTGGTAAAATTTAGCACTCGAACAATAGATGATGGTTATGCAAGTGTTTGTTAAGTGTAGTGTCTGACAGAGCAGATTGCTTTATTTCCTAGTTCTTTCTGCACATAGGTAGGCGGATGCACCAAATCAATTTACCATATAGAAAATATGTTACTTGTAGCATAATTTGTAAAAATGGAGGTGTACATAGAATACAATAAAAAGCTTTTATGATTTGTTGGATTTGCTAAATTATAGCTATGTTTATTGGGTCAATATTATAGTAAAAAAAAAAAACGTTCTTTTTGGTTTATACATCTTAACTGTGTAGGGGTTTTGGGTTATATGTATAGTTTGGTTTCATTTGGTCAGGATAAGGAAAATTATCACCGCCTAGTTTTTATTTTCTTCTCTTGTATGGATTTGTTACCCCTACCCTGATCTTTTTCTTCTTTTGTTCGCAGCTTGTCCACCAGTGTAACTCATGTTGTTCTAATACATATTATCAGTTTCTTATAAGAAAAATCACCATCTGTTTATTTAGACTTATTTTGTATATGTGAACAAAGTTTAATGAGAAACTTTATGTGATCATTGTAAATGTATATATCTTAGAATGACGTGATATCTAATTTTATTAAGTTTTTTTTTTTTTGTGACATCATAAATAGAAATTTGGGATATTTCATTGTTTAGCAAACTAGGAACATTTTTATCTAAAGTGATATTGTTCTTGTATTTCAAGATTTCTAAAGCCCATTAAAGAGCCTATACGGTAATGGTAAAGATAGAACAAACAAAAATAAAGAATATTGGAAAAAAGAATTTAGTCTTTTGCTATTTCTCCCTGTTTCTTTTCTCTTTCTCTCTCTTTGCTTTCATATAAGTTTATGGTTTTTTCTTCCTAAAGTCCCACCTCTGCTGACATCTTCTTGTTAAATCAAATTTAAAATATTTATTTGGTTCAAAGTTTGCACATTTGAGTATTTTATTAAATGCCACAAGGTGAAAAGAATCCAGTAACTCATGTTACACATGCGTTTGCACATTTCTTGACTCAGAGCAAAACCAATGTGACTGTGATTATTTTGAATGCTTCATTTTCTTGTGAATGACATGTATGTTTTTATATGTTTTTTTCTTTTCTATTTTTGTCTTTAATATTTTATAAATCTGGAAAGTATTATGGATGTTGTGTTGTGGTTTCTTACACAGAGTAGAACCACTTGTTTGTAAAGAGTTCCTCACCATACGTCCAGTTATTATCCCTTACCATAGAGGTGGAAAGAGGCTGCATATAGGATTCCAGGTAAGCTCCCTATAGCACCACACAATTAAGTTTTTAAACTTTTTCCTCTTTCTCTCTTTCTGGAGCATTTTTTGTTTAAAATAAATTTTCCCACTTTCTAATACATCCTTATATATGTGAGTTAGGAATTTACTGAAGATATAGCTGCTCACTCTCAGGCAATAGTGGACCAGTTCAACTCTCTAAGGGTGGGTTCTGATACTATTCATTGTTAGTTTCTCTTTTCAACTTCTTCAAAGGCATATTTCTTTTTTTCTTTTTCAGTTTTTGGGCTTATCTTGTTTCTTTACACTTACTATAGAGCATGACGGTGGTCAGGCTTTTCATTTCTCAACTTTGTAATATAGTATATGCTACATGTTTATAAACTGAGCTTTATTGGATTATGCTAATAATGTCAATATATACATGCATAGCGAATATACATTGACCAATTTGAATTTAGAGTTAAGTATTGTATTTGCTTAAGAATTGAGACTCATTGTTGTTCTCTATATCTCCCTCAGGAGTTAAAATTCTGTTTCTGAGAATAACTTTTAAGATGATTAAATTCAGTAGAGGTTCAACTTTGTCAGTGTGTCATTTTTTTTTTTCCCCTCAATGTTAACCAAATATTATGTATGTAACTAAGGGTGGTTTTTTTTGTTCACTGTTGGAGAAATTTAATTTTGATGAAATTCCGACTCAGTTGCTATTCATTTATACATGTTTCTATGTATATATAATATCATTGTATCAATTTAATAGTAGTTGACCTTTAGTTCTTAAGTTTACCCAGAATTATCATGTACATGTTTTGGCCTTTGGTTTCTGATCATGTGTGAGTATTAAAGCTCTGAGTTTTATGCTATTGAAACAGGCTAAAGTACTTACAGTTTGTCAATCGAGAAATGCAGATGCCCTAGAAGGTAATATAATCTTCTAGCGCTATTGTTTTAGTGCTTTTCTGTTTCTTCATGTTGTCCTCCTTTTGTACATATGAGTAACAATGGCTTAAGGGACCCACCATTCTTGTACTTACGGTTCCCCTCCATTGTTCAGTAGTAAAAAAAGATAATATGAAAAATAAACAACAAAGCCCCGATCCCATAAATGAAACTTCACTTAATCTATGTTGATTTCTTTTCCATATTTTTTGAATGCACTCAACAATCTTTTTATGTATATTGCAGAGGCAGAAAATGCCGAAGAAAGAGAAGAAAGATCATATGGTGTTATAATGATGGAGAGGCTAACTGGAAGTGTAGAAGGACGGATAGATCACATGCTTCAGGTTTGTAGTGCAGCTTGATGCTTGCATTTACTGCTATATCATGTTATTGCTAATTTTTGAGTGTCTATACCACTGTTATTCACACTTTTAAGTTGATGCCTACTACCCTCCATTGATGCCTATAAGTAATCATAAATTTGAGCCATCATTTTCCCTCCTGAAGGTCTTAATGTTTAACATTGATTAGCCCTTTTGAATGAGTTTATAGTCTTAGTTTACGGATGTCTTCCCTTCACAAAATTTAGAAGAAAAGAAATGAGTTTATAAATGCTGCATAGAAGGCAACTTGCAAGTCTGTTATCCTGTGAAACTACATCTCAGGAGCTTTCCAAATTCCAGAAGTATTGTTATCATCAGAATGTCATAGCTCCACTGTCATAGATGAATTATGTATCTGAAGCCTCTGGGAGTTATTTTGATGGGCTATGAGGGTAGTTGGGATTTGGGAATGCTGGTGTCTTATTGATTGTTAGTCCTTAGCTTCGTAGCCTCTGCTACCATCAATTTGCAAAATACCATGTGAACATAAATATTTGCCAATTGCCATGAGAAGAATGTTCAAAAGGTGATGGACATAGTATAAGATGCTTATTAAGTACATTGAGGATATCGAGTTTCCACCGTCGAACATTTTGCCTGAATGGTTCATTGTTTATTAATAATAGACATGATATTTTACTTTTGTTTTATATATCGTCACTGCAAGCTCATTTGCTGACTTCTTCTAATGTTCATATTGATAATGCAGGATAAAACATTTGAACATCCTTATTTACAAGCCATTGGAGCGCATACGTAAGTACTTTCTACGCTGAACCAAAATAGTTTATTGTTTATACTGTATATGGCTGTGTAGCTTCAGTTTTCAAGTGATGTTGCTTAATTTTGCTGATTACATGTGCATTTGCATGTGTAATATATATATTTTGTTTAATTTGAGTCTCTGTGTACAGAAATTATTGGAGGGATTACGACACCGCCCTTTTCATATTGAAACACTTGTTTCGAGATATTCCTGAAGACCCTAACTCACCTGCATCTTCAAGTGAAGACAACTCAAAGAGGGCTTCCATCGGTTGGTCTGATCAAAGAGAGACAGAAGAAGAACAACTTCCTCTGACATTCTCCGACAGAATGATGGTTAGAAACTTCTCGAGGAAGGCTAATAAGTTTATAAAGAAGCGCTGATTATATCCGAACTCAACCTCCGTCGTTAACCATTTGCTGTCACTAACCATGCTGCGGCATTGAGGGTCATAGCATTCATTCAATTGGGATACTTTTCAGGAGACTCTTGACATTTTTGTTGGTCTGGATTTACACGAGTTATCAAGTGGTAAAATTTAGCACTCGAACAATAGATGATGGTTATGCAAGTGTTTGTTAAGTGTAGTGTCTGACACAGCAGATTGCTTTATTTCCTAGTTCTTTCTGCACATAGGTAGGCGGATGCACCAAATCAATTTACCATATAGAAAATATGTTACTTGTAGCATAATTTGTAAAAATGGAGGTGTACATAGAATACAATAAAAAGCTTTTATGATTTGTTGGATTTGCTAAATTATAGCTATGTTTATTGGGTCAATATTATAGTAAAAAAAAAAAAATATGATTCATTCCATGCTGATAACCGTAAAAATGGTATTTAATTGCTCTATATGATAACTTACGTGGGTAAAAATGTTGACAAGGGTACATTTTTTTTTTTTTTTTTAAACAAAAACCAACCTTGGGGCATTTGGATCATATAATATTTTATTATAGAGGTATATTCTATTAACGAAAAGAAATATCACCTGTGAATGTTTAAAAAATGTGTTTTGTTGGTTCTAATAAATTGGTGAATAATATGTTTGGTTGGGAGGATAAATGGATGAGTATGTTATGTAGGTTACTAAATTGTCTTTATTTTTAAATATTAATATAATAGTATTTTTTTATTATTATTTTTTGAATCATTTTTTATAACCTTCTACATTTGAAATTTTGTTAAAACTACATAGTTATATAAAACTTTAATTCGTAGCAAAATCACCTCTACTCACCCCAAGCTACTGTCGACAACTAGTCACCACCGTTGGTTACCGCCAATGGTTGACGAAATGGTGCACAACTGATCGTATATGGCTCGTCGTGCGTTGACAAAACCGGAAATGGCTATGGATCACAAATCTATGGCCTTTTCACGGCCATTTCACGGCCAAAGATGTGGCTGTGAAAGGGCCACAGATCTGACTGTGAAAAGACCAGATCTTTAGTCGTGAAACGACCATAGAAACGCCATATCTTTGGTTGTGAAACTACCATAGAAACGCTAGATCTGGCTGTTTCCGGCCATGGATTTGTGATCCATGGCCGGAAAAGGCCTTACCGGCTCACAACATGCCAGATCTCGTCGGTCGTGCACCATTACGACAACTGATGCCAGCGGCCGACGGTGGTGTCACGACCGATAGTGGTCTTGGATGGCTGGGGGTATTTTGTTAACTTTTAAACTTTTTTGTGGTTGGGGTGTTTTAGCTAATTTCTCAAATGTAGGAGGGCTGGGGTATTTGTTATTTGGTAGACATTTGAAGACAATTGTGTCCGAAATGGTTTTTAATTAAGGGCAAAATGGGAAGAAAAATGATATTACCCCGATATTTTTTTTTAATAACAGTCTCTAGCAAAGTAATAAGATTACTCCCTACATTACCATTAGTGACCACTATTTGCAATAAATGATTACCGTAATATTTTATTATTTGGAAACTAAACACAAAAATCTTGCAAAATAAACGAATATTACCTCCGTTATCTTATTTACCCCCGATCCAAGTGGCCCCATTATAGTAAAATTGACCCCTAATCTATCATGAAATAACATTGTCCTCGGTTTCGGAAACACTAATATTACCCCTATTTTTTTTTTTAATTTAGGCATTAAAATTTATATATAAAAAGGTAATTTTGTCAATTCACCTCACATGTATAACATTTATGGAGACAAAATACCTAATCTAACATTATGAATTAAAAAAAATTGCTTTTTCACGCTTAAATTTAAAAAATATAGGGGTGATATTAGGTGTTTCTAAAATTAAGGGGAGAAATAATTGTTTGTGATAGTTTTGGCATAAAAATGATATTTAACCTATAAGGCATGAAAGGTTGGAGTAGATCTAGGGGGCATTTTATTAAAATACCAAATCAAGTTCAAATTTAATTAAAAAGGTCATGTACTTTGAAAGTGTTAAGTAAATACCCTTATTATTGATTAAGGTTAATTAAACATGATTAGTGATTAATTAGGATTAATGAAATATTGTGTAATCCTTTAAAAATTATGTATGTCTCCAAAGAGCTAAAATTCTTGCAAACAAACCCAAACACCTTCTTCTTCTTCCTCCCGCCATTAACGCATCATTCCCATGGTTGTTATTTCTTCTAAGCTTCGTCTACATCTTCTTCTTCCTCCGCCATTAACATCTTCTTTGACATAGATCCGTCGCCTCCTCCTCCTCCTAACATTTTGTCTAGGTATATGTATCTTCTCTTTGCATTTTATATTTCAATTTACAAAGATTTAATGATGGATTGGGTTTGGGTTATGATTTTGATTCAATTGTTTAGGTTATTGGATTGTGTTTGAAGTAATACAAGCTAAAAGGAGTGAAATTTGTTGAATATTTTCTTGCATTGTGGATAGCTGCGGGTAGTAGCACCAATTGTAGGTGGAGATGACTGAAAATGTGTTTTGGATATGATGAATCGCTTAAGCGATTTGATATATCTAGTATAATGCAGCAGATCGTAGATCGCTTAAGTGATCAGGTACATAGTAGAAGATCGCTTAAGCGATATGTTATATATGATATATGACAGCAGATCGCTTAAGCAATCAGACTTATTTATACCAAATCACTTAAGCAATATAATGGATCGTTAAACGATCTAGTAAACGATATACCAGATCACTTAAGTGATACATCAGATCCCTTAAGCGACTCTGCAGATGTTTTTTAAAATCTGTCAACCCTTAATACATTAGTTAATAATTTCTTTTCCTTGCATTATAGGTACTTGACTATTATTAGACATGGGACAAGTTGTTTTAGGTGTTGAATATTTTGGTGAGTGAGTGGAGGAAGAAAGTTGCTGGAAGTGGATTAGGAAGAGTAAATAAGTTATACCAATTACTGTGAGCACAAAAGTTAGTTTTGATGAGTTGATTGATGAAGTAATTAAAAGAGGTGATTTGAGTTGCTCACGTAGTGATATAGTTGTGAAGTATATTTTAAACAGAGTTCCTGGACATTATAATGTACTTCTTGTTATATTAAAGTCGGATGAAGGTGTGGAATTATATATGGTTGATGGGGGCGATAATGGTTCGAGATCGATTTTAAGGATTTCTTTTGTAGATAAACTGTTGAAAGTTGGTTCAAAGGAAGGGGATAATAAGAAAGTTGGTGGAGAGAATGCTGGTTTTAATTTTAACTACGAGAGCATTGATTTCTTAATTGAAAAATCAAGAGTAAGCAGTGATTTGGGTGGCGAGGAGGACACTATAAAAGAGGTTGGTCATGTGGGGCTGAATGAAAGTGTTGTCGAGGAGGACCTCGTACATGTTTCCGCAGATGTAGAGATTCCTATAAATACAGATTATGCAAAATGTGTAGTTTATGAGGAAGAGAACATTATGATCCTTTGTGCATGTTTAGAGGCGACTATTAGGGTAGTAGTAAATTAGCTCATGTTCTTACTGATGGATCGAATTTGCGCATAGGATCTTTATTTCTCAGTTCTTTCTGCACATAGGTAAGCAGATGCACCAAATCAATTTACTATATAGAAAATATGTTACTTGTAACATAATCCGTAAAAATGGAGGTGTACATAGAACACAATAAAAAGCTTTTATGATTTGTTGGATTAGCCAAATTATAACACTATGTTTACTGGGTCAATATTATAGTAAGAAAATATATGATTCATTCCATGCTGATAAGGGTAAAAATGGTATTTAATTGCTCTAGATGATAACATACATGGGTAAAAATGTTGACAAGGGTACTTTTATTTTTTTTATTTTTTTATAAACAAAAACCAACCCTTTATAGGAAAATCGACCCTAATCTATCATGAAATAACATTTTCCCCGCTTGGTTTTGGAAACACTAATATTACCCCTATTTTTTTTTTTTTAATTTAGGCATTAAAATTTACCTATAAAAAGGTAATTTTGTTGATTCACCTCACATATATAACATTTATGAAGAACTAACATTATGAATTAACAAAATTGCTCTTTCACGCTTAAATTTGAAAAATAGGGGTGATATTAGGTGTTTCTAAAATTAAGGGGAATTTTTCGTAATGGTTTGGGCGTAAAAATGATATTTAACCTACTAGGGATGAAAACGTTAGAGCAGATCCAGTATCAACACCTGGCCGGTATGGTAATCTGCTCATTGAATAAATAAAATATAATTTCACAATTTTCATTTGTAACATCTAAAATCCCAACAAAGGACAGGACGCCTTCCCTCCCTCTCTTATTTTTTTTTCCGGAGGTACGCATTTTTTTTTTTTCGAGTTTTAAGCTTAACTTTTGTTTATTTTATTCGTAGTTTTATGATATCAATCTGTAGTTGCCTTTTTCCATCTAATCAATGCTCGCTATTCCTTGAACACCATTCAATTTCTGCCAAATATTAAACAAACTGGTTTCTGGGTCTGGTTTAAATTCTTCCATTGTGTATTTCTTATGAATTTTGTGTGTGTAAATGGGTTTTACATTTTTTTAACATCTGGTCTTGTTTTCAACATGCTCAGCAACTGTTTGTGGAATATCTTAAATGAAATTTTGAATGTATTTATCTTTGGTAAAGGAATGAAAAAGCTCAGTTCAATCCCTGTGAATTGATTTTTTTTTTTTTTTTGGGTTTTATGCATTAGCGTATCTGATTATTTATCGGTTTGTAATGTGGCTACAACTTAATTCATTTTGTTTTAATTTGATTCTACTTGATGCTGTGATGGTTTGCATGCTGTGAGGCTTAGTTTGGTCAGTCCAGTACGTGTGTGTTTGTTTTGTTTCTGATTGATTTGGTGGTGTATACTTTCTTGATGTTTTCTTGGATTATAGTTTATCTATGTGCAATTGTCTTGGTTAGGATCTTGTGAGAAATGTTGGTGGTTAATGCTTTAACATAAAAGGGGTAGTAGCAGGCAGTAACGGTACCCGCAATCTAGACTCTTGGATCATGGTCTAAGGGTTGATTGTATCATGATCTAATGGTCTGGGCAGGGGGTGATTCTACCTCCCAGAAACATAACTTCTTAATCGTGGTTGACGAATTTGGTGCATGTCTTCTTTTGTATGATTCTATATGCATCCTGAAATCTTGTATTTTCATGTTTGTTTGCGAAACTAGGATTGTGTTTGTGGTCTTAAAATATCTTCTAACTTACTGATGAATTTGTAGATATGTTGCTACTTCACGCTATATATATTTTGTTTTCATGCTATAATTTCTGTTACTATGTGTCTAAATACTTAGAAAATGAAAAATCCATTCCTTTCCCCGGGCTTTGCAAGACTTGTTTTTTTACTGTATTTATTTTTTCAACTTTTCTGTTTAGTAGCTTTTTTGGTTCTGCTTACGGAACTTATCATTTTTTGATGTTCCAGATTAGAAGGAAATAGCAAAATAGCTTGCTTTTTATTCTTCAAATGTACTTTTGAGAAGAAAACTTTCCTCACTAAACTTAACAAGAAGATGCAATGGGAGCCTCCAGCGGACCAAGGCTGTCTGGGATGCAGAAGCAAGTACTTAGTCTATACAGAGGGTTTCTGCGAGCAGCTCGTTCCAAATCTCCTGAAGATCGGCACCAGGTTGAAACAATAGTATCAACAGAGTTTCGCCAGAATTCCAAGCAAGTAGATCGAAAAAATTTCATCTACATTGAATACTTACTTCGCCGTGGTAAAAAACAACTTGAGCAGCTCAAGAGCCCAGATACTGTCAGATTATCATCATTGAATGTAAGTTTATCACAAACCAAAAATTCTGAGAAATGAATGAACAATATAAATTCATTTGTTATCAATTCTGCCAAGCTAAAATTTCATTGGATCCATTGTTGGTGAAAAAGGGAACTAAAGGTCCCAATATCTGATATTACAATAAATTATCAAATTGTGCTCTTCAGATCTGTTACAGGAAACTATTAAATATTAGTCCCATTTCTAAATTGTATGTCGTCCCATTTCTTTTCTGATCTTTCGTGCATTTGATTGGATATATGATTGCATTGATGAATAACATTGTATGATTAAAATATAAAGTTTTGTATGAGGATGTATAATAAAAAGAGTTTGAGAATATTAAAGATTACTAAAAATAAATAAAATGATGGCTTTGATAATTTGGTGAGTGTAATAACACTTTTGAGTACAATAATTTAATTTAACATACACTAGTTTATACATATGTTTGAATGATGGTCCAAAAATAAAATGAAATAATATGAGTGACTTATTTTATTAGTTTAATTTTTTTAAGGATACTTTTCAACAATTTGATTACTTTGATAAGTTAATTAATTAAACAAAAGCCTTAGAGAATATATTAAGTGAATTGTTTTGGACGGCCAGGAGGTTCTCTTGGTCATTTGTACTTGATAATTTGTTTAACAGTGTAAATTAATTATGGGAGAGAGATTTTGTAAAATCAATTTGGAGAGAGGTTTTCTACAATAAATGAAGATAAAAATTACATTAGAGAGAGATAATAGATATAAAGAAAGGGTAATACTATGCGTATTAACGGATTTTACTAACTAGTGTACTAACTTATAGTATAGTACGGATACCATACATATAGTACAAATATTATATGTGATTTTAACAAAAATTAGTACACTGATTAATAAAATCCGTTAGTACGCAAAGTGTTATTGTATAAAGAAAGCGGTTGCCGAAGTCTTCCCTATGGGAATTTTGTAACAAGTAAAAAGATCGGTGGGACTATGACCAAGACCAACATCTCAACCCTTTTTCCATGTAACAGTACTAATTAAACTGGAATTTCCTTCACCATTTTCATCACCAGATTTACTCTCTCCAGCAGCGGTTTTGCTCGGAATAAGCTGACACTAGCCAACAGAAGACCAAGAATGATATTACTTTTAAGGACTTTGTACACGTGCACCTGTGTAAAGAGACCTAAAACCCCCTGTTTTCAGGATTGGGAAAAGTGCATGCAATGAACTCCGGTACGTGATAGCTTCTCCTGATCTCATCATCATTCTACAATGTAAAGTATCCATTGGGTATGTAACCAACTGAACAAAAGTTTGAATCCCATATATGATCTCAAAATGGGGCAAATGCTGTGTTAATGATTCAATATGAAGACAAATGACATTAAAGGAAACTTATAAGTAAGCAAAAAAAATTACCTTAAAAGATAGGAATTCAAGGATATGTATAGTGTTGCCCCTCCAAAAAGAAAGCAATTAATCACCAATTCCCTTATAAGGATGGGATAATCGACCGATCTTTATAATCTCATTCTGGCACTGGATCAAGAGTTTCAATGGCTCAATTGGGGCAGTTGCCATCCTATTGAGAAGCCCCATCTTTATGATAAAATCATGTTGCCTTTCTCCGATGGGACTTCTAGAAAACCAGGTGACATTATTGGTGTTATAGAAGATGAAGCACTATACCTTGACATGCTTGATTTAGAATGGGTAAACTCCCCTTAACGTAAGCAAATGCACCACATTGGCCTTCTGGAGTTGAAAGGTGAGGTTGCCTTTGTATCTTCATGAATATTGAATGATTGTTGTTCCATTTTATACCAAAGTCTACTGAACTGCATTAAATCAATCAATTAATCAATAAAGAGAACAATACATGAATTGATTATGAGATTCCAATTTTGGTTTACACATAAGCTCATAATTAAGACTGTTTTGGGTTGAAAAAAAAAAAAAAGGCGTGCTAGTTTATTAAACTGTGTTTATTTCATTTATCCTACTGCAAGATTGCTTATAATGAACATATTTATTATTATTGAAAATTATTAAATACCCTCCACGTAGGGGGAGGAGTTTTGATAATTTTATTAATAATTTTTTTATATGTTTTAGGGTTATTATTATTATTATTATTATTTTGAGAATATGTTTTAATAAGAGTAAACAATTTCGTATCGAACCATCTTATATAAGTAAATGAAATAAACCCTTTATCTTCATCTTCAGCTATTGTACAAACAAAATCTTCATCTTCATCTTCAGCTGCTTAAAAAAAATGAACCCATCAACTTGGTAGAAGCAATAGAACCGAGCATATGTAATAATACTTATTATTATACTTATAGTGATAAAGAAGGGACGTTCAACAACTGGCCACTGAGACTCTGAGCTTTGTCTGGTCTTTGGGAATATTTTCGAGACAAGAAAAGAAAAGTGAAAGAAAAACCCTAGTTTTGGAAGAGAGAAAAACAATGTGCTCAAGTTTGTCATTTAATTTGTGCGTTCAGTGAAAAAGATTGGTCTTGAGTTTCTTATTTATTTTCATATCATAATGCAAGGAGAAGGAATAGCCTCATGAAAAGGGAATGCCTGTATTGGACCGTTGGATGATCAATTGGTATTCCCTATCTACATATCTGAACACCAAAGTAAAGTTTTCTTCTTTAGCTGGGGAGATACATATAAAAAATAAAAACCCTAATTGATTTTTAGTCATCCTCAAAAGAATTTCTCTATCCATTCATTTTTGAGCCAATGTTTCAGTCTCATTACCGAACACACACACACACACACACACACACACACACATATAGCTAGTTTATATTTTTGCTTCATGAAATTATGAAATATATATATACTTATATAGCTTTGAAATAAGAATAGTAAAAAGAAAAAACTTAAGCTCTAGTTTTGAAATCAATAAATTTTTTTTGTGGGTTTATATAACTCAATTGTAAATATAGTATTATTCTTTTGAAAAGTTATAAGTATAATATTGCTATTTTGAAGTAGATAATTAGAAGTGAGGCAAAGACTCATTTCATAATAAGCAAGTTTTTGTGATTTTGTGGGTTGAGTGGAAAAGTTTATTGGTCATTTTCCTAATTTTGCATGCAAGCTGTAGGCTCGTGAAAAGGGAAAGCCCCTCTTGGACCGTTGGATGATCACTTGTGCTACTCATCCTACGGCCTCTGACATCCCTAGCTTTATATGTTTTCTTTGCTGTCAATTAAGGGGTTAGAGTTAGAGGGAGGTGAGTGATAAATTTCAAAATATGTGGGGATCAGGGTTTTCAAAATAAAAAGGAGATGTGTAATAGTTTTCATAATTTTTGAAATCCCCCTAATTCGTTTCTCTTCATAATTAAATATTTAATCAGTTATTTTCACTCAATATCCCTGCAGTTTACAAAAGTTATTGTTAAGTTAAACTTTTAGTTTTGAGTGACATTACCCTCAAAGTTTGTTCTAAGGTTCATTTAACAAGATTGGAGGTTGATACAAGAATGCTTACATTATCGGAATTATGAAATTATGATTAATGCTCTTCTTAAAATAAAACAAAAAGATAAAAAATCGACTGAAATTCCCAAACTGGTAATATTACAGTTAATTCATATAAAGCTGCCCTTTGAATCTTCATATATATATATATATATATCAAGACCCCTACTAAATTCAAATGAAAAATAAAGAAAACTGTTTGTATTTTCTATTGTATCATCAATGGCAACCATGCCCAACTTCTCACTCTCAGTCCTTCTTTCATCCAATGCTTACACTGATCTTCCTTCATCACTTTGATTACCAGTTTTACTTTTCCTTGCAGGTGCTGTTTTTGCTCTCAAAAAATTGTAATACCAGACAGCAGATAACCAAGAAGGATAGTATCTTTAAGGAGTTTTGCAGTTGCACCTTTGTAAAGAGACCTAATACCTTCTGTTTTCAGGATTTGAGAAAATGCATCGAATGAACTCTTGTACTTGACATCATCTCCTGATCTCATCACCATTCTGCAGTTGATAGTGTCCAATGGGTATGTCAACAAGTGAGCAAAAGTTACAATTCCGGCTGTAACCATGTAAACTTGCCCCAACGAATTATACTGCAAAAACAAAATGACCACATTATTGTCAGAAAGTCTTAATTCAAATGAACATATTATATATATAATTTATTGATACCACTCTGATACTACGTCAACCTTATCATAAACCAATGCATGTATAACATAATTTAATACATTAATTTATAGTAACATGGTACACTGTGGTGTTTTAAATTTTTTTGCATTAAAGCAAAAGAATTTTAAGTTTTCATGTCTCACTGACCTGCAATTGTAGCACTGTTTGAGTGACTCCATTGTAGAGTGCATAATGCAACCAATTTTTGACATAAAGAACGTTAGAACCACGGTAGAGTCCAACAATGCCATCAGTTTTAATGGTTTTTCGCCAAACATCAATTAGACCATTAAACTGTCTTTCGCTAACTTTCCAAGAAGTGCTATTGATCATGTCAGTAGCTAGGCGTATATAGGCATATTTCAAGGGATAAAGCAAATAATGAGGTGCACCAGAAACATAACTGAATTCCGCCGCTTTCCTGGCAAACCTCTTTATGAAGTCGTCTTTGTCTTGCTTATACTTTGAACGTTGTCTCTCCAAATAATAACTTTCAGCAACTTTCTCTATAGCCTGTTTTTACATTTTATTAGGTCAGGTATCAATGACAAAAGAACAAACTAATAAAGAACATTTTGAAAGTTCATAAAAAAGTCAGAAAAAAGATACCATTCTAGAAAAAAATTCATGGATAGATGCACTGTTGCCCCTCCACAAAGAAATGACACCTTCGTTTTTTATCGTTCTAGCGAAGCAGTCAACAATTCCTTTGTAAGAGTTGGATAGTCGACCAGTCTTGAGGATATCATTCTGGCATTGCATCAAGAGTTTTACTCGCTCAAATGGGGCAGTTATTATCTTAGTGACAAGCCGATTAGTTGAATAATTTTTGCGTTTCTCTAATGGAGCTTCTACAACAACCGGTGATAGTGGTAATATAGAGGATGAAGCATTGCCTTGATCACATACTGGTTGCAAACTGTGTAAACTTCCCTGAACATAACTAGCAGATACTCCATATTGACCCTCTGGAGTTTTAACTTGAGCAATGTGAAAATTTGTAATTAATTGGTAAGGGTGCCTTTGTATCTTAATGAATATTGATGGATGTAGTGACCTTTGTTCCATATTTTTGCCAATGTCTAGGGACCTACACTGTTAAACCAACCAATTAAGCAGTAATGTGAACAATACAGGAGTGGTAAGCTTATAAATAAACCCATTTCTATCTTTACACATTTCCCCAATTAAACATAACCCTATTTCTATGTTACAAACAAACCCCCTCATCTTCAGCAACACACGTACACATATTATAATTGGTATGGTACAGGAGGCAACAATAGACTAATAGTAATTGTACATGTTGACTTTGCAAATGCAGCAGACAAGTAGCTTTAGTTAAAGTCAGCAAGCTTTGTACTCTGTTTTAGCTCTCTGTGTTGACTTTGCTGATTCAGCTAGTCTTAACTGGCTAGATAGTTAAGTTTCTAATTGCAATCTTTGGCGTTTAGTTAGCTAATAATGTACTGATATAAAACCACTACTGTACTTGATTAATTTTTATTCAACTATGCAAATGACAACAATCTAATGTAAGAGCTCACATCAAAATCTCTCTGCCCCAACTTCACACATTTTGTAACTATCACTTTTCTTTACACATGAAAGAAAGAAAAAAATATTTTTTTCTTCCTAAATATGAAATAAGGCTTATCTTACTTGCCCCTGTTGTTGATTAATGTTTCTGTCTGTCCAATGGAGACTCTCAGAAATGGGCACTATATGGTTAATCTTCATGGTTTTCTTCACAAATTTCTCTGACTAAACACAATCCCATTTCTATGTTACAAACAAAATCTTCATCTTCAGCCACACACATAATAGATGGCTTGAAGAAGATGAACCCATCTAAACTTTTCATTTCCTAGAAGAAATAATTTGTTCTTCTCTGAAATTTTCAAGAAGCAAGAATAATGAGATAAAGAATTTACTTACAATGATATGTAAAAGAGATGTTCAACAGCCGGCTAGCTAGCTACTGGTACTCTGAGTCTGAGCACTGTTTGATTCTTGGGAAAATTTTCCAGAAGGAGAAGAAATAAGACAAGTAAATGAAGAACTGAAACCCTTGTTATGATAGAGAGAAAAAGAGAGCTCAAGACTCATTCCATAAGAAGAAAGTTTTTGTTATTTTTGTGCGTTTGAGTGAAAAAGTTTACATGGCAGGTGCTTGTTTTTGCATGCAAGCTATAAAGCCTCATCACAAGGGAAAGCCAATCTTGGACCGTTGGATGTTCACATGCTCTACCGATCCTACGGCTCCTGGCGTCCCTAGCTATAGATGCTTCTCTAAGGCTCCGTTTGTTTAATTATTTCTACGTTATTCTATCCCTATCTTACCCAACTGTTTCCCTATTTTGAAAATCCTATGCTATTTTATTTAATGATTTTAAACCCTTAGATTTGTTACTTTAACTAAACATCCCCCAAAAAAGTTTAAAAATTAATAAAAACACCCCCACCCACCCACATTTTCCAGATTATGACCACCACCGTCAGAAGATGGCCGGAATCTGGTATAATGACACATTATCAGCTAGATCTGGTCAATAGTGTACCAATCTAGCATTTTCTAGAAAGGGTCAGATCTGTTGCTAAAGATCTGGTTGTTGATAGCCAGATCTTTGGCTGTAGTTGGTCGTCAGCGACGGTCGGGATCTACAGTAGATTTCACTAGAAAAGGCCATATTGGTGCATGACCAACCAGATCCATTCGGTTGTGCACCAATACAGTAACTCCGGTCACCCTCAGACGGTGGTAGCCGGCTATCGGCATTTAATGGGTGGGTGGGAATGTTTTTGTTAATTTTTAATATTTTATTGTAAGGGTGTTTAGCTAAATTAATAAACCTAGGGATTATTTTTGTTAGTTTTCAAATCTAACCTCGTAATAATTAGTAAAAGCTCGTTTAGAGCTCGGCTCGATAAGGCTTGACTCAACTCGACTCAAAATCAGTTCGTTAACCGAGTTGAGTTCGAACACAGTGAAGCTCGGCTCGTGAGCCTGGTTCGGCTCGAGTAAGCACTGTACACTTATACAGGGTGCTTTGGTGATTTTTTAAACGATTAGGTTTAACACTGATATTTTCTAATAAAAAAGTTTAAAAAAATGACATCCCCCCCCCCCCCCCCCAAAGTGCGAATTTTTAAACACGATACACCAAAACCAAATCAGTTTCATCCTAATCCCACTTGCCCTAAATCCCAAATCAAACAAAGCAATCCTAAACCCACTGACAGAAGAGACGTGGTTCACGGCGAAGAGTTGATGGCGAGTTTGGCGATAGCTCTTGACGCAAATCCGACGAGAAGACGGGTTCACAGTGAAGAGTTGAGACGACTGGGAGGTGTGTTGGTGCTGCCGACAAACGTGGTGGAGATTTTAAAATTTTGGGGATTACGACGACTGGGAGGTGTGGTTTACTAGTTTAGGGATAAAATTGGGGTGTTTGTATTTTAAAATTTAAAAATGGGGGTGTTTTGTAATTTTTTAAAATTTAAAAATCAAGGGTGTTTTGTATTTTTTAAATTTAGGGATCAGGCTGCGAGCCGGCTCGAGCTCTACCGAACTCGACGCAGCTTGAGCTCGATACTATTGTAAACGAGCCGAGCTCAATAAGCCAAAAGCTCGGCTGGGCTCGGCTCGTTTACAAATCACCAACTCTTACTTTTTCAAAAATCATATCCAAATAATAAAATAAACCCACCCTACTTGTTGGGCCTATTGAGGAAGATGAGTGATCATTTTCAAAAAGACCTTTTTGACCTTCCCGAGGTTTAAGGAATCCTAGCTAGACCCTAAAGTTTTAGAAATTATCAATACATCCTTTGTGTTTCATAAAATCATAACTTATCTCCCTTGATCATGTTAAGATAGTTACATTTAATAAACCAATTTTTTTTTTTTTACTTTTTTTTTTTTTGTTCTCACATTTTAGTCTCTTATTCATAAAATTACATTTATTCCTTAACTACTACTAGGAAGATACTTATCCCCTGTTTGTTTTACTCTTTAGAATCATTTTTCATTATCCTATTTGATTAAAAAAAAAATGTATTTGTTTGCTTATAGAGATCATTATTCAAAATAATCCGAATCAAAGAAGATTTTTTCTATTGAAAATGAAATGAGAGGAAAATTGTTTTTATTATCCTATTCAATTCAACTCAAAAACATTAGATTATTTTTAACCCATTTCATTGTTAATTTAGCTAAACACTTCATAATAAAAGTTTAAAAATTTACTAAAGCACCCTAGCAGTAACCATGGGCCAACGGCCACCATCACTTGCTAAATTATAATTTATTTCTATTTCAATTCACATAATCAGATAATTCCATAAACTTCCCTAAAAGATTTTTTCTTTAGTTCTATAAACTGTTACCAATTAAAATATATAAGTATCTATATTCTTCAACACCTGATTTTTTTTTTTTTTAATAGGCTACATTATCATTGAAATACTCTAATTATCCTTAATTATCATTTTAGTTGCTAAATTACAGAAGTTTTCATAACAATCGAAATAGAATTAATATATAATTTAGCAACTGATGAGTTGAAGTATTTAAATAAAATGATCTTCCATGAATATTACAGGATTGCATTTTTTTTACCTACCACATGCAAAATTAACAACCTTCTCACCTCATTTATTCTTCAATTAACATTCAACATGAAAAAAAACTTGCTTGTTATAGAATGAGTCTCACCTCACTTTTTTCTCTCTTCTTTTACTTTTCTTGCAAATTTTCCAAGAACCGGAAAGAGCTCAGAGTCTCATTAGCTGGCTGTATAAGAACCCTTCTTGAACATTGTATGTATAAATTTTTTATCCTTATTCTTGGTTCTTTTGCCTCCAGCAAATTAAAAAAAAAAAGAACTTAATTTTGTTTTTTCTTTTCTTCACCTTTTTTTTTTTTTGGGTGGAAGAACAATTACATCCTTTATGAAACTGAAGTTGACGAGTTCAGGTTTTTAATGGAACTATGTATGTGTGTGGCTGAAGTGTGGCTGAAGATAGAAGATTTTGTTTGTAAAAAAGAAATGGTGCTGTGTTTAATTAGAGAAATGTCTAAAGAAACATGAAAAATGCCATGTCTGGGAGTTTCTATTTGAGTGCAGGAAGTATAATCAGTGGGTGCAAGTGCATATATTGAATTTTTGTTGGGTCTCTTTATATTAGTTTTTTTTTTTTTTCTTATTCTTTCTTTGAGGGTGCGTAAAGAATTGAAGTAACAAAATGTGAGAGTTGGTGAGATACTGATAGTTGCCATTGCCTTATATGATAGCCCGGACATAGCTATACCAATTGACTAATTATGTAAATCGTTGCGTCATTTGTGTACTTATTGTGTAATGTCTTGTTGATTATTATATTATTGGGTTTGGATACTGTGTCATGTCATCAGTGGTTAGTTTACCAAATTGTTCAATAAATTGCTATTCTTTTATGACAGAGAAAACTCCTAATTAATTATGAATTTATACCTGAATTGGAATCTCTTGTATTTTTCACTTTCTGGTTAATATGTTGATTTGATGTAGGTGATCAGACTTCAGCACAAATGGATCAAGGGGTAATACATCCATCAGTATTAATGAAGATACAAACGCAACCTGACCAATTCATTAGGAATTTCACATACCTCAGTTTCAACCCCAAAGGGCCAAAGTGGGCATTCCTTATCTTAAGGGGAGTTTACATAGCTTGCATCGAACTACAAGTGATCCAAGCAGAGCTTCATCTTCTGTATTACCAATATCACCAGTTGTTATAGAAGCACCATTAGAGAAAGGCAATGATGGTTTTTCCATACAGAGGGGGCTTGCCTTTAGGATGATATGGGCCCCGTTTGAGCGGGTGACATTTTTGATGCAATGCCAGAATGAAATCATCAAGACTGGCCGACTGGCCAATCCTTACAAGGGAATTGTTAACTGCTTTGCTAGAACAGTAAAAAATGAAGGAATCTTTTCTTTGTGGAGGGGCAACACTGCATGTATCATTGAATTCTTATCTTCTAAGGTAACTTTTTGGTAACTTATTGATTTCCTTTATGGTCATTTGTCTTCATATTATCATAATTATCCTTAGACTGGAATTTAGAATACCGCATTAACGATTAATCAAAATTAGTTTCCCAATGATGAACTTGCAAAAGATTCTTCGTTGGTTTGTTATTGTAATTGAATATTGGCATGATATTTTCAAATGATCAAATCTGAGAACAGGCTCTGGACAAAGCTGATAGACCTTTGAAGCATAAGCAAGACAAAGATGAATTCTTGAAGAGGTTTGCTAGGAAAGTAGCAGTAATCAGTATTGACGCTGGTGCATTTCATTATTTGCTTTATCCCCTTCTATATGCCCATATACGGCTAGCAACTGATATGATCAACATCACTTCTGTGGGAGTCAGTAAAAGACAGTTTAGTGGTCTAATTGATGTTTGCAGAAAAACCATTAAAACGGATGGCATTATTGGACTCTACCGTGGTTGTAACATCTTATATGTCAAGTATTGGTTGGATATTGCAGCCATGCATGGACTTGTTTCGATAATGCCAAAATTTATTGAATTACTCGGGTCGCAGGTCAGTGAAACATAAAATATCTCGTTTATTTTTACAATTAATATGATTGGTGATCATAAATTGAACATATATTTGACATAGTTTATTCTTCCTACGAAAGACTTTCTTATTTCAATGTGATTATTTCTTTTGTAGTATTATTCTTGGCGTCCTGAAGTAGTTGCACCTGTGATAGTAACTTCTGCTTGGGTGGTTACGTACCCATTGGATACTATACATTGCAGAATGGTGATGAGATCAGGAGAAGCCGTCAAGTACAAGAGTTCATTCGATGCATTTTCTCAAACGCTGAAAACAGAGGGTGTTAGGTCTCTTTACAAAGGTGCAAGTTTATTAATCCTTAAAAATACTGCCCTTGGTCTTGGTTTTGTGCTGGGAAGTTTCAGTTATTTAGAGCACAAGTAGCTGAAAGGAAAGTAAATATGGGGATCAACGTGATCAAGGAAGTTCAGCATTAGCATTACATGGAAGAAGGGATGAGAAGTTCAGGGCAGTCACAGATGTGATAGAAAGTATATACAAAGAGTAATTTAATATGCATGGATTTAGATTTATCCATGGCATAGGATTGTATTTCTTTACTTAATTACCACATGCAAAGGCTTATTTTATGTTCTTCTAATTAAAGAGCTCTTCATCTGTTGACTCATTAAATTTTTGTAGGCTGAATCTCATTCTAATTAATCTGGTTAATCCATTATAAACTATTGGATCGTGATTCAGTTAATCTTTGACCCATAATTGAGTAAGAGTAATGCTACAGGCACGAGAAGTAATGTACCGGATTTATGCATTGAATGACGTGACAAAATCCCGACCGTCGATTAATATTAAGTTATAATTAATCGACGGTCAGGATTTAGTCATGTCATGCACTACTCCTGGTGTCTCTGTTATTTTCTATTGAGTAATCCCGACAAAAATAAATTTATTGAATAATATAACTACTCAATCCTAGTATTTAATAACGAAATTTGAGTTCACTTTGGTTAAAACTCATTTTCTGTTTTAAATTTGGCCGGGTACTCTTAATAAAAAAGACAAGCTGTTTTTAAACCCTGTTTAATTAATAGCAAAATATGAAGAACATCATTGGCCCAAACCAAGGCTATAATTTTAGGAACAAAAGCCCAATGGGCCAACATAGAGGAGGACATAAAATCACCATTAATTTTTTTAGAAGTATTTTTAACCCTCATTTAATTGATTTTTATCACTCGTTGCTAAATACATATTTTCTATGATTATATATATAAAGTCTCTTTAAACCCTATCTAATACCAAAAATGGCCCTCTAAACTTAATTAGGTTTACTTTCCCCAATTTCATACTTTATTAGAAATTTTTTTTTTTTTTTTTAACACTTTTCCCAATCAAACTTAATTATGTTTTTCCTTTATACCATTTTCCCCCTATTTTCTAGTTGCAACTTATTTTCTCTTGTTCAGATTATAGATTCATCCTATTGTGTAATTACTTTTTCTATAGTTTTAGTATTATATTTTCATCAAACAAACAAATATTTAAAATAAAACAAAAGGTTTTAACGATTACGAAGATTTAGAACCAGGTTATAAAAATTCAGGGTTAAGGTTTATGTAAGATTAATGTTAAAAGTTAAAACAAAAACATAGAGAGTATGAGTGTATTTAGAAGTTATAATATTATTTCTAGTAATTTAAATTAAGGCTAAATTTATTAGAGCAAAAAATAGATTTAAAAGTGGGAGATACAAATAAATTCGGTGGTGGCTAAAAATCATTTCCCTAACTTTTTTTAGAATCTAATTTTAGAATTAAGAAATTTTTTTTTTCTTTCTAATATTGTAAAATTTCATTACATAAGAAATGTTAAATATTTTTGTAGACTGGTAGTAATTTTTTAATGTCTTATTTTATGTTAAGAGTTATGTGTATTGAAACAGAATTAATTTATAATTTAGCAATTGATGAGTTGTAGTAAATAAAAAATTTGTTAAATATTTATGTATGAATTTTGAATGATCTTCAGGATTACGTTTTCTACCTACCACATGCAAAATTATTAACCTTCTCACTCGGGCTTATTTCTCATTTTATCCTTGAAAATTGCATTATTTTTTTATCTTTTGTTTTTTCTGTGATGCCCTGAAAACTTCTCATCTCTTCTTCCATGTAATGCTTATGCTGAACTTCCTTTTCGTATGATCCCCAGAGTTACTTTTCTATTCAGCTACTTTTGCCATAATTATAACTATCTAGAAGACCAAGAAGGATGATATTTCTACGTATTTGTACACTTGCACCTTTGTAAAAAGTCCTAACACCCTCTGTTTTCGGGATTTGGAGAAATGCATCGAGTGAATTCCTATACTTGACAGCTTCTCGTGATCTCATTACCATTTCACAATAGACGATATCCAATGGGTACGTGACCAACGTAGCAAAAGTAAATGCAAAATGAAATACCCGTATCTCTTTTACTATGGAAAGCTTAATAATTGATTTTTCATGGGGGTTAATTGAAAGAAATTAAAACTTGTTGGGGTGTTTGAAAGATATAAGAACTGGTAGGATCAATAAGTAATATGGCAAAGGGGCTTGAGTGCAAAGATGGTGTAGAATTTCCAGGGGCAAAAAAAGTATCAAAAGATTAAGGGCTTTTCAGTATTTTTCCAAATAGGAGGTGCATGAGACTTTTCCATGGGGTGATTTGTGACATATCAAAACTTTTGTTATATCATTTCACTATTTGGTTGGGGTGAGCACGGTTAGCGGGTAGAACCGGAACCTGGGGGTAGAACTGGAATCGGAACTGGAACCTACCCGGAACCGGCACTGTGCTGGTAGGTTCCGGTTCCAATTTTTTGAAATCGATACTGTGCGATTCCAGTTCCGGTTTTTGTGTGTGGAGGAACCGGAACATGGAAAAATAACCTAAAAAGGGTACCCTGTTTGGAACCTGTAACAGGTACCTGGTTTGGAACCGATTTTAAAATCTATTTGGAACTTGTTTTGGAACTTGTTTGGAACCTGTTTTGGAACCTATTTTGGAACCTGTTTTGGAACCTATTTTGGAACCTGTTTTGGAATCTGGACTGCAATGAAATATTTGTGAAATGTGAATAATGGGGGGTTTCTATTATTTTACATATAAAAAAATTTAAAATAGAAAAAAATTAAATTTATAGAATAACCTAATTAAATAAATATACTAATACAATTATACTTATTACTAGAGCTGGGCATTTGGGACGGGGCCCAAAAGCCCAGCTCCAAAAACCGGTCCTAGGACCGGTCCTTGGGAGGCCTGGTCCCAAAACGGGACTAGGCCTAAGGAGGAGGGCCCCGGCCCTCCACTAGGCCCTCCTCCAAGGCCCGGGCCTGGGCCCAAATTTTTTTTACCTTTTATCATTTTAGTCCTTTTGTAAAATACATTAAACCCCCTAAAAGAAGTATAAATTATAAGGACTAAAATAAAATTTTACAAAATTTATTAAAAAAAAAAAAANGTTACAATGTTCTCATTGAATGAGCTGCAAAAAGCAAGCGGGAGATTAACTAATGAGTTTAGACCATTCTCTCCCCAATTTGGACCCTTTATCTTTCACCTCTTTAAATCTCGCACCAGTCGTCACTCTTCTTTTCTAATCAAACTAACTTTCTCTCTTCCCTCTTCTTCTCTTTCTCTCTCTCTTTCTCTCTAACCAGAGATCCAACTTCAAGTACTTACCCAAGTTGGAAAGGAGAGAAGAACAAAGATGGTGGGTTCCCTTTCCCTCTTCTTCCTTTTTTTCTCTTTTTGGTTTCTTTCAGTATTATTCACTACTATTTTTATTTGTTCTTGTTTTGATTACCCCTTTATAGAAAAACAACGTCTTTTGTTGCATGCTTTCTTTTTTAAGTCCTCATGAATTTTGGTGCATAATAATATAATATAGGAGGAAGAAGCACAACAACTGTGCAGCTGGCAGCGCGTTTCAGGAGAAGAAGAAAGAAGAAAGCAGAGCCCAGAATGCCTAGTTCCATGCTGCTTTTTTATTAAAAGTATGGACGGGCTAATGGACGCCCGTCCAAACCGTCCAAATGTAAGGGACATGCGTCCATTTCTAATGGACGCCCGTTCAAATATAAGGGACGATCGTTCAAAATTTATAGACGGTCGTCCTAAAAGTTTTTTTTTCTTTTTTCATATTTGGGTCAAGGACGGACGTCCATTATTTGTGGGCGTCCGTCCAAAAGCAATGGACGACCATCCATAATAGATGGACAGTCGTCCCTAATGTTTTACAAATTTTTTAATTATATTTTAATCAGGGATGGACGTCCTTTAAATGGGGACGCCCGTCCCTTATATATGGACGGGCGTCCATGTGAGTGAATAACCGTCTAAATGTGATGGACTGCTGTTCACTAGAAAAAAATTATAAAAAAATTGAGACGCGTGTTACACATAGGCCGGTACAGAAATTCGATGTAACTTTTTTAGTGTCTGTAGTGTTATTGCTATAAGACCAAGAAGGATGATGTTTCTACGTATTTGTATGCTGCACCTTTGTAAAAAGTCCTAACACCCTCTGTTTTCGGGATTTGAAGAAATGCATCGAATGAATTCTTATTTCTAAGTATTTTAGTGTCCATGTGAGTGAATGGCCGTCTAAATGTGATGGACGGCCGTTCACTAGAAAAAAATTATAAAAAAATTGAAATGCGTGTTACATATAGACTGGTACAGAAATTCGGTGTAACTTTTTTAGTGTCCGTAGTGTTATTGCTATAAGACCAAGAAGGATGATATTTCTACGTATTTGTATGCTTGCACCTTTGTAAAAAGTCCTAACACCCTCTGTTTTCGGGATTTGTAGAAATGCATCGAATGAATTCTTATTCTTGACAGCTTCTCCTGATCTCATTACCATTTCACAGTAGACAATATCCAATGGGTACGTGACCAACGTAGCAAAAGTAAATGCAAAATGAAGTACCCCGTATCTCTTTTACTATGGAAAGCTTAATAATTGATTTTTCATGGGGGTTAATTGAAAGAATTTAAAACTTGTTGGGGTGTTGGTAGATATAAGAACTGGTAGGATCAATAAATAATACGGCAAAGCGACTTGAGTGCAAAGAAGGTGTAGAATTTCCAGGGGGGAAACAGTATCAAAAGATTAAGGGCTTTTCAGTATTTTTCCAAATAGGGGGTGCATGAGACTTTTCCACGGGGTGATTTGTGACATATCAGAACTTTTGTTATATCTATTTCACTATTTGGGGGTGAGTTGCGATACTCGAATCCTAGTGGGTACACATAAAATTTTCCATAGAAAGGTGGAATAAAATGAAATTGAAAGGGAGATGGCACACGGTTTTAATTCATGGTTTTGGCTTAAGTTAATTTGTAACAAAATGGAAGAAATGATAATGGGA